ACACCAGTTGAGGATTCAATTCAAGTTCGATTAAGACGTATAGTTCAGCTCTGAAGGATAATGTTAATGGTTCGCAGAATCATCTATTGGATCAGATTAAGATATGAAGAAAGTTCTTCAGACTGATTTTTGGAATGCCCAAGGAGCTCGACGAGGACCTTGATGCTAAAGTAAGCCACTCGTTTCAAGCGATGGTATAAGAGAAATCTAAAGTAGAGGCCCACAGAGTAGGCAGAAAGAACGCTATGAAATCATAAAAAGTTGTCACTTCTTGTTCCACAGTGGTTGACCAGATATTTTCGAAAGCAAGAAAGTTGAAACTCGTTAAGAACTACAAAACTGTTTTCATTAGCCCAGACCGCTCCCCCGAACAGAGAGACGAGCAGCGAGATTTGGTCGATATAATCTGAAGAGTCTTATAACTAAGAAACTGGATAAAAGAGACAATTATTAACAAGAATTGTGCCCGTTAGGCGGACGCTAGATTTCCATCCGCTGCACCTGGCGGCTGGCTCCGCCCTTTGAAATTGAATATTAAAATTACCGATTATTTCAAGTTCTACTCAGTCATACTCATAATACCTAGCTTGTTCAGAAATAAAGGGTTGCAATGTACTGTGTAGTGGTTGTACAGCTCAGCTGCGTCGTCCTAATTTTGAACCTACTCTAAGTCTTCGCACGTAATATAATAAGCATGATGACAGGTTGATTTATTCACAATTTATAACATTCTCCCTCAAATAACAAAAGCAGAGGCAACATATAAGTGCGGTGGGTGCGGAATCGCAATTCACACTTTGGCCTGATACCGCAAGAATAAGTATAACTATAAGTATATTATTATAAGCTGATAGAATACACTGCAATTACATTAGAGCTTTAAGAATTAAAATTGTCTGACTCTAATCAGACAAATAAAACAATAGAATGGAGTGAAATGGAGTGAAATTACTCCAGTTGTTAATCAAGTAATAAGCTCGGCGGGTGTACTATTAATCATAAGCTGACTTCAGGCGTTACATTGACGACGGAGCAGGTTTGTTTGAAGGAACTACAGATGAGTTCAAAATTTCGATTACAGATGTTAACTAAGCACTCCTCCCCCATGGCCTAATCATTGATGAATACCAAATAGAAGATCCTCGTAAATACGTATCTTTCCTTGATATAATGTTCACCTGCGCTTCCTTAGGCTCCCTCCAAACGGATTTGTTCATGAAGAAAATGGACTCTCGTTCATACCTACACTTTAAAAGCTCCCACCCTACCATATCTATTCCGGTATCGTGTACTCTCAAGTCTCAATGCCTTAGACTCAGAAGGATCATCAACTGCCAAGAACGCCTGAAAGAACACCTCACCAACCTCAAAAAAGCCTTCCTTGCCGCGTGTTACCCTAGGAAAATGATTGAGAACATTAGTAATAAAGTTCTCAATTCAGCAAGATCACTGTCACGCAAAGTTCAGGCTCCTGATGACCAGACACCATTACATCTTCCAATCAGGGTCATATCTACTTATGGTAGTGATGATGATCTGGTGTATGTGACTTAGAAGTATGAAGAACACCTCTCAAGAACAAGGAGTTTCAGTGAAAGTGACACTGCTGAAACATCCCAAGAGACCTCCTCAACAGCTGCCACGCCTAGGAAGAAAATATTCAGTTACACAAAGAAGACAGGGCCAAGCCTAAAATCTCGACTCGTCAAATTGAAAGAACTTGCTTTAGGAGCTAAAGGAACTTGCTTTAGGAGTACAACCAGCAAATGCCATATGCCAAGATGCAAATGCTGTGAACTTGTCAAAGGCACCCATGAATTCAAAGTGAACGGCAAGAAGGTTAAAGCTTCTCCTGGAAACTGCCAGAGTTACAACATCATTTATCTGTTCCAATGTAGTGTCTGTGGAAAGGCTTACGTCGGTCGCACTACTCGCTCTCTACGGCCGTTAGGACTGGAGAACATAGTGTCAAATATTATAAACTTTTAAATGGTGATAAGGTAGATGAAACAAGTGATGAATATAGTTTGGGCTTACATTTGTTGGATCATGGTTTTAGACAAATTAAAGGGAGGATTTTAACAAAAATTTTAATGTGTCAATTATTGATAATTCTAGTCCTAAAATTTTGGATGTCCGTGAACATAAATATACTCAACTACTCAAGACTTTAAAACCTTTGGGATTAAACACTATAAATTTTTTTGGCCTTCCTTTACTCCTAACATCTTAATTTTAATTTTATAACCGTTTTAAGACTGTCCAGGTTTTTAAAGGAATTTTGGGTTTTACTAACTATTTACAATTTTTAGGGCTTATGTCACTGAAGATGACGCCTTGCAACATGTTTGACGATAGCCTGTAAATTGATAGTTTGATCTCAGTATTTACAACAAATCATCTAGCTTGATTGATTCAAAGGGAGACAAAAATTCCTCTCAAGCTGACTTCAGACTTGATGTTTTGAGATTGTACAGTGTACACGTGTCCTGTTTCCTGTTCCCATGCTACACTTCCTAGTATTGCGCATCCTGTGATTGAAGTTATATTAATAATTAAACAATATTTTATACATGAAAAACGCTTCTCTTGGATCATATGATGATGGAGTCTCTTCGGCCTACAATCTATATAATTGAATAACAGTCATGTTACATCTTTCTGTTACTAAAAGTAAAACGTTAACAATATCAAATAAAAAGCTTGTAGTTGTAAATACAGATACAAATTAAACAATCATGATAAGCAGAAACTTCTTAGATCCTTCCGATTGAGGAATGAAAAAGTTGTTATCAACATAATATGTTGATAACAACTTTTTCATTCCTCAATGATTATTATATCTTAGAATGTGGTTGGGCTGTGATTTATCGACCATGAGTACCAAGAAAGCAGATATTTGAATTGACTAGATTTCCACTGGTAAGCGACTCGGAAAATCATGGGCCGGCATAGTGCCGGGGCGGGTATGATCCGCCAACCTCCGAGTTACATGCCTGGTGCTCTACCAATTGAGCTACCGGCCCTATTCAGCTCAGGAATTTCTTGCACGCCTATCAGTAAGCAATCGTGTTGTTATCTCATATCTGCTGCTATTAGTATACTGCATTATATGCAGCTGGGATACTCACTGCCATATTTGTGAGTGTGCATACTGCGTGTAATGTTTTTAATTTGCCCATGATTTTCCGAATCGCTTACCAGTGGAAATCTAGTCAATTCAAATATCTGCTTGCTTGGTACTCATGGTCGATAAATCACAGCCTAACCAGTAACCACATTCTTGATCAGACATGTGCATACGCCATCTGGGAGCCGTCAGTTGAGCTTGCTCTCTGACTCGTGGGTTGAAAACATCGTGTACAGTACTTCGTGAGTAGTACAGTACTTCACAACGATAATCCGCCTCCCCAATCTCAAATTAAAATCATTACACACAGTATGCACACTCACAAATATGGCAGTGAGTATCCCAGCTGCATATAATGCAGTGTACTAATAGCAGCAGATATGAGATAACAACACGATTGCTTACTGATATGCGTGCAAGAAATTCCTGAGCTGAATAGGGCCGGTAGCTCAATTGGTAGAGCACCAGGCATGTAACTCGGAGGTTGGTGGATCATACCCGCCCCGGCACTATGCCGGCCCATGATTTTCCGAATCGCTTACCAGTGGAAATCTAGTCAATTCAAATATCTGCTTGCTTGGTACTCATGGTCGATAAATCACAGCCCAACCACATTCTTGATCAGACATGTGCATACGCCATTTGGGAGCCGTCAGTTGAGCTTGCTCTCTGACTCGTGGGTTGAAAACATCGTGTACAGTACTTCGTGAGTAGTACAGTACTTCACAACGATAATCCGCCTTCCCAATCTCAAAATATTATATCTTAGTAAATATATAGACTATAGTGGGGAAAAATAAGTACTGAGACTGACGTCTACTTCCTAAAATGGGATTTTGTCAAATGCAGCGCCTTTGGAAAAGGGCATGTGATTATAAAATCTTACCTCTAGCGTTCATACAAAGACACCATTTATTCCCATATTTTCGTTGGGAACGGTTAAATCAGTGCACCTTCAAAACTTGTGTAATAATTAATGAGGCTTAGGATTACCACTACCAGGGGCTAGCAAATAGTATAACTATTACTTACTCCCATTTGTGATTGTCTATTTCAAGACACGCTCTTTAAATATATTACATCATTTTATTCAAGTTCCAGATGAACCCCCATCGTGCAAAGAAATCAGCTTCGCGATATAAAATCGGTAAATTTGTCTGTAACCATGATTTCATCGAAACTAAAATAGTTTTAATTTAAGGTTTGGTACCATAATGGACTTTATCGGAGCGGAAAACGTTTAAAAAAGGAGCCAATAGTTAGCGAGGAAATCGTCGTCATCATTGATATGTTCCGAGACCGGAACAAGGCACGTCATGACAACGTACATGGCAAGGCTTGCCACGTGACTTCTTTATTAAAGTACCAATGGAGATAACGCGGCTCATAAACTACTACCTTAACTCACAGATATAAGCGGAGCAGCTGAGTGGGTTAAAACATATGATCTCAATTTCTCTGCTTAGTGTTTATACTCTTATAGTTATACACAATGACAAAACTCACTATAAGCCACTGTGCTGCACTTATATGTTGCTATTTTGCATAGGCATACCACTAATCCGGTATTTTGAATTTTAATAATTAAAGTATAATTAATATAATATATTAAATAAATCGCACGTGTCATTAACATAACACATAAGTTTTCATAGATATTGTACAACAAGCATGCACATATTTCATAACAATATTCACATATTAGATAACAACTATAGGTAACTTAATATTTAACAAATATTCACATATTTAACAAATGTTTAACAGATATTCACGTATTCAACAAATAATTATCAAATATTCGCATATTTGACAAATATTCACATATCTAACAAATATTCGCATATTTGACAAATATTCACATATTTAGCAAGTCATGGTACTCTCTTCCTTCCTAAGTTCGTCTGCTGACCGGCTACTGGGAGTAATCTTCTGTGTTATTGCTTTCACCGGGTAAGTGGCAATACTGAAGTGAATAAATAGATAAATAAGTAAATTAATTTACTTATTTATTTAGTGATAAAACTCGAGTAAATATAACTGTTAACCTCCCTCAGTGTTACATCTAACTTCGCTAACTGTTAACCTCCCGCAGTGTCACATCTAACTTCACTAACTGTTAACCTCCCTCAGTGTTATATCTAACTTCACTAACTGTTAACCTCCCTCAGTGTTATATCTAACTTCACTAACTGTTAAGCTCCCTCAGTGTCACATCTAACTTCACTAACTGTTAACCTCCCTCAGTGTCACATCTAACTTCACTAACTGTTAACCTCCCTCAGTGTCACATCTAACTTCACTAACTGTTAAGCTCCCTCAGTGTCACATCTAACTTCACTAACTGTTAACCTCCCTCAGTGTTATATCTAACTTTGCTAACTGTTAACCTCCCTCAGTGTTACATCTAACTTCACTAACTGTTAACCTCCCTCAGTGTCACATTTAACTTCACTAACTGTTAACCTCCCTCAGTGTCATATCTAACTTCACTAACTGTTAACCTCCCTCAGTGTCACATCTAACTTCACTAACTGTTAACCTCCCTCAGTGTTACATCTAACTTCACTAACTGTTAACCATCCTCAGTGTCACATCTAACTTCACTAACTGTTAACCATCCTCAGTGTTACATCTAACTTTACTAACTGTTAACCATCCTCAGTGTCACATCTAACTTCACTAACTGTTAACCATCCTCAGTGTTACATCTAACTTTACTAACTGTTAACCTCCCTCAGTGTCACATCTAACTTCACTTACTGTTAACCTCCCTCAGTGTCACATCTAACTTTACTAACTGTTAACCTCCCTCAGTGTCACATCTAACTTTTCTAACTGTTAACCTCCCTCAGTGTTATATCTAACTTTGCTAACTGTTAACCTCCCTCAGTGTCACATCTAACTTCACTAACTGTTAACCATCCTCAGTGTCACATCTAACTTCACTAACTGTTAACCATCCTCAGTGTCACATCTAACTTCACTAACTGTTAACCTCCCTCAGTGTCACATCTAACTTTTCTAACTGTTAACCTCCCTCAGTGTTACATTTAACTTCACTAACTGTTAACCTCCCTCAGTGTCACATCTAACTTCACTAACTGTTAACCTCCCTCAGTGTCACATCTAACCTTACTAACTGTTAACCTCCCTCAGTGTTACATCTAACTTCACCAACTGTTAACCTCCCTCAGTGTCACATCTAACTTCACTAACTGTTAACCATCCTCAGTGTCACATCAAACTTCACTAACTGTTAACCTCCCTCAGTGTCACATCTAACCTTACTAACTGTTAACCTCCCTCAGTGTCACATCTAACTTCACTAACTGTTAACCTCCCTCAGTATCACATCTAACTTCACTAACTGTTAACCTCCCTCAGTGTCACATCTAACTTCACTAACTGTTAACCTCCCTCAGTGTCACATCTAACTTTTCTAACTGTTAACCTCCCTCAGTGTCACATCTAACTTCACTAACTGTTAACCATCCTCAGTGTCACATCTAACTTCGCTAACTGTTAACCTCCCTCAGTGTCACATCTAACTTCACTAACTGTTAACCATCCTCAGTGTCACATCTAACTTTTCTAACTGTTAACCTCCCTCAGTGTCACATCTAACCTTACTAACTGTTAACCATCCTCAGTGTCACATCTAACTTCACTAACTGTTAACCTCCCTCAGTGTCACATCTAACTTTACTAACTGTTAACCTCCCTCAGTGTCACATCTAACTTCACTAACTGTTAACCTCCCTCAGTGTCACATCTAACTTCACTAACTGTTAACCTCCCTCAGTGTCACATCTAACTTTTCTAACTGTTAACCTCCCTCAGTGTCACATCTAACTTCACTAACTGTTAACCTCCCTCAGTGTCACATCTAACTTCACTAACTGTTAACCTCCCTCAGTGTTACATCTAACTTCGCTAACTGTTAACCTCCCTCAGTGTCATATCTAACTTCACTAACTGTTAACCTCCCTCAGTGTCATATCTAACTTCACTAACTGTTAACCTCCCTCAGTGTCACATCTAACTTCACTAACTGTTAACCTCCCTCAGTGTCACATCTAACTTCACTAACTGTTAACCTCCCTCAGTGTCACATCTAACTTCACTAACTGTTAACCTCCCTCAGTGTCACATCTAACTTCACTAACTGTTAACCTCCCTCATTGTCACATCAAACTTCACTAACTGTTAACCTCCCTCAGTGTCACATCTAACTTCACTAACTGTTAACCTCCCTCAGTGTCACATCTAACTTCACTAACTGTTAACCTCCCTCAGTGTTATATCTAACTTCACTAACTGTTAACCTCCCTCATTGTCACATCTAACTTCACTAACTGTTAACCTCCCTCAGTGTCACATCTAACTTCACTAACTGTTAACCTCCCTCAGTGTTATATCTAACTTCACTAACTGTTAACCTCCCTCAGTGTCACATCTAACTTCACTAACTGTTAACCTCCCTCAGTGTTATATCTAACTTCACTAACTGTTAACCTCCCTCATTGTCACATCAAACTTCACTAACTGTTAACCTCCCTCAGTGTCACATCTAACTTTACTAACTGTTAACCTCCCTCAGTGTCACATCTAACTTCACTAACTGTTAACCTCCCTCAGTGTCACATCTAACTTCACTAACTGTTAACCATCCTCAGTGTCGTGGGCCCATACTTGTGCCGTGGGCCCATACTTGTGCAGGAGGTGCATTTTGCTCTCAACATCTGTGTTTTGGTGACCCTCAGGTCTTTTGATTACATACATTTTGTCGTAGAATTGTGTAAATTTGTATGTAATTGATCGATTTGAAAGATTTCAATAAAAACAAAACTTCACTAACTGTTAACCTCCCTCAGTGTCTCATCTAACTTCACTAACTGTTAACCTCCCTCAGTGTTATATCTAACGCTGTCATGACAGTTCACCTCTCCACCCTTTCCAAGCACCTGAGAACCCGGACCACCTCAATGCTCATTCAGATCTCTACAGCAGACTTTCTTACTTGTCTTACAGTGGCTCCTGTCGTTGCAGGTCAGTATTTTTTGTGTGATATTTTTAGAATTTAGATAATTACTTTACTCCGGTCTATCCAACAGCTGCAATCTGCATGGTTACATAGTTACTGGCAATTACAAATTTAGTTTAAACGTGTGATATTCAAATAGTGAATAGTCTTCAATATTTTTGCATGAAATTTTCGGAATCGAATTTTCTAAATCGCATTTCCACCTTATTGTAGGAAGCCGATTTTTAATTTAGGCCTCCACAAAATTTTGGCGGCCAAATTCCAAAATTTTCCCGGCAAAATTCAAGTTTGGTCACTGGTGTCCTAGTTTATTGGTCAACTGCTATCTCGAAATCAAGTTTCACAAAAAAATACCCATTGAAAATACTGATCTGATGTCTACCAATTCTCCCTCTCATATTCTCCATACTCTCAACAGTAAAACTCAATGCTAGTTGGGATGGGGAGTTCCAATCACTTCTAAGGATATGACCGAGCATTTTCCAGCGAGACTTAGCAACCCTCTCTGTTAATGGAGTCACCCCACAACGAGCATAAAGGTCTCGGTTACTGATGATTCGGGGATAAGTGGAGTTCATGATCCGCCTCAAATGTTTGCACTGACACACATCCACTTTCTGAAGGATTTTCTCTGGAGCGGCCAAGCTATTGCAGTTGTACAGCAGTACTGGCCACTGGGGTAACAAGGGCCTCGTATAACTTCACTTTGGTGTCCAGTGAAATTCGGGACTTTTCCAGCCAAACTTTGTTGTACTTTTCGAAAGCAACATTAGCTAGGATACAGCGGTGAAGTATGTCAGATTTGCTGCAAAGCCTGGATCCCAGTGACACACTCTTCCTCCATGGCTCTCTACCTCTTAATGGCTCTCCTTTCTCGTCGACATCTGTTTTGTCTGCTATATACTTATATAGAAACAGAAAAATTCAGTCTTGTCTTCGTTAACAAGTAGATCTCATTCAGCCAAAATCTCTCTGCAAATAGGCAGCATTTCACGCAGATTTTATTCGTCTTCATCACCGAAATCTGCATCATCTGCATACTCCCATTCTATTGGCAAGAGAGAGTCTGGGTCAAAAGGAGGGTTTGGACGCAGGTAGTGAAATGATAACACTACTCTTAGGTGGTACAGTGCGCCAGCAAAGTATAGAGTATAAGTAAAACATGCCCCTGAAGCTGCATCACATTGGAAAGATCTGTTGGAGGTTTCAAACTCCAAAGAGATGGTTTAGTCAATATTAATTCTGAGCTTGGTATTTGACAACAAATACCTTGCTAACCTGATGTCATCGTCACAGCAACCAGCTTCCTTTAGCAAGTCAAGAATTACTGGTCGCTTTATGGTGTCAAAAGCTGAGCTCCTATCGATGCCCGTTTTGGAGAATTCCCATCTTTTCCCCTTCATTACAGATATATATGGCGTTGGGTCCATACAATATTCGCACAACTGTGACCTGCCTTGTACGCATTTTGCCAGGGTCCAGTATACTCAGCTATCTGTCTCCTGACCCTGTGAAGTGTTATAAGGGACAAGAGCTTCCTAGTACCGTTGAGTAGACATAGGGGCCTGAGACTTTTAACTGGGCCTTTGGGTTTGCCAGGTTTCTGCAGCAGTGGTGCCAAATATCCCTCTGTAAAAGATGGAACATGTTCATTACGCTCAAAAGATCGGTTAATGAGGGTAGCATATTGTCTCTAGAAATTTTCAGGAGCATATTTTAGGAGTTCATTGGGGATCTGATCTGGGCCTACTGCCTTACCATTCTTCAACTTTGAGGCTGTATACTGTACTTCTTCACAGGTTATAGGAGTCTGAAGGGGTCTAGGAGGTCCTATGAAGGGTTGCAAAGGGGGTTCTGGACTGGCATAGTGTTGCAAGAACCATTCTCGGAAATGGCAGCCTTCTCTTCATCGTTTCCAACGAGCTGATTGTCTGCGTTGAACACTGATATTGGTTCTGCTTGTTTATCAGTGGCAAGGGCACGTGTGGCTTCAAACTTACGCTTCGTGTCATCAGCGTTATTGATAGCATCTGCTATCTTGTTAGCATGTTCTGTCTCAAGTTCTTTGAGGCGTTTGTTGATGTTGTTCTTGAGTTTGTTAATGTTTCGTCGCAATTCAGTCCTATCACGCAGCATGTTGTCATTCAGTTGAAGTATCAGCTTGTGTCTTTCATCTGACATGCAACATACTTGAGGGTCTGATGAATGTTGAGTTTTTCTTTTTTTCTGTCTCATACCCACTGTGTTAGACGCAGCAGTTTTAACAGTTCCAAATAACTGCTCAAAGCCTGCTTTAACGTTAGGGGGAGTGGGTAGGCTGTCTATTTGCTGTGTGACAGCTTGGTGAAACTGGTTCAGTGGTTCTGTAACTCCTTGATGCAGACCAGGGACGTTGTGTTGTACTTTACGGTCTGAGTTTTTCTGCTTTTGTAGAGCTTAGTTTTCTGCCTGAGATCTATGGTAGCTTTCACGATTTTTTGATCTGAGTGTAGTTTTGCACCACCATAAGCCCTGGCATCACTCAAAAATCAATCTGTGAAAACTTTTCTTGGTCTTTTTATCTTTGACCCAACCAGTTCTGGTAATGATGTGACGACTGAAATGGCGGAATGCAGTATTTGCAGCAAATAAGTTATTGAACACAAGAAAGTTCAACAACCTCTCGCCGTTTTCATTCCTCCCACCAACGCCGTACCTTCTTAAGGGGGGGGGGGGGGGGGTTCACCCTGATTTTTTTGTGAAACTTGGTTTCGAGATAGCAGTTGACCAACAAACTAGGACCAGTGACCGAACTTTTGCGGGGTACCCGGACCCCAACCGCCAAACGGTGCCCGCGGGGCAGCCTCGCCCATATTTGGTCCAAATTAGGCCCAATTTAGCCAAATACCCTGAACATGCCCAAAATCCAGATTTTAGGTGCTCTACTTGTAGCTAGTGGTCCCCTGAACTCGTATATGAATTTTCATCAAGATTGGACAAAAAATGACTGAGTTATGAGCCAAAAACCATATGACCATATTTGGGCATACGCACTAAATTTGATCGATTTTGGCCCATAAATTAGTCAAATATCAATATTTTTGAATGAAACCAACTTTATATGGAGGGTAAGCCTATACTACACATTATCTATGATTATCAGCTCAGTATCTACCTAACTGTGGATTCTGTGGTCAAATAATCGCAAAAAATGAACAAAATCGCCCATATCTCAGTTCGCGATAATTGCAAAACTGACTTCGCTCAAAACAATAGAACTCAATAGGGTTTCAATATTTTTACATGAAATTTTCAGAATCAACGTAGAATCGCATTTCGACCTTCAGTTTTGTATTGGAATTTTGAGTTAGGCCTTTAAAAAAATTTGGCGGCCAAATTCCAAAATTTGCAATGCAAAATTCAGAATTTGGCCGCCAAATTCTGAATTTGGCGGCCAAATTCTTAAGTTCTTATGAAGGCCACTGTTGTAGTCTTGATCTGACTGTTTACCAAGTTTTGCATTAAAATCCCCCAGTATCCAGAGTTCATAACGTGCGGGTACATCCACTGCTACTTGAAGTTCACGGTAAAACTGGTCTGTAGCTGCAGGGTTTGAAATTGTCTTTGGGTTGGTTGGGCTGTAACAGCAGATTTTGAAGGAACAAAAAACTCCATGTAAACAACACGATCGCTAATCTGATGAAATGAACGGAAGTAATGATTAACACGAGTATTGATAAGAAACCCCAGTCCACCATGATTTCCCGGAAGTCTCGAATCTGAAAACTGACGTACTTTAGTCTCTTGTAATCCAATAACGTCTAAATCATATCTGTCACAGTCCTGGGCAAGCAGATGTTGCTTGTCCGTTTTTGTCAAACCTCGAACATTCCGTGTAGCAAAGCCGAGTAGAGCAATGGTGACAAGGAGCGTAGTGATCTGTCCTACAGTGATCTTCCACGTAGCAGTAGATATTCTGGTTGTAGTAACCATGTGTGTCCATCACGACATCACGCCATCCTAAGAACTTGTATAAAGCTTTAAATTTATCCGAAAAATGCTCAGACTAATAACTAAGATCAATATAAAATCGTTATGAACTAATATAAGTGATTTAGAAATCTCCAATCGATGTGATAAATTAACTTCTTCCATTTCAGCGGGATTATTACAAGATCGGTATCTGCCCATTGAGATTGGTGGCGACTACGATGTTAACTCACCTTTAGCTAATATCATAGGTAACAATCGTTAACCGCAACTTATATTTAGTTATAAACTTAGTTCAACATTCCAGATCTGTTACATTTATTAAGTAAATGTGTTTGAAAGGTTGGATATATTTTAGCCTTGCTTTAGTCAGTTCAAATCCTGGCTCAGTGCCTCTCTTTGTCATGAAGAAAACAAATAGGCGAAATTTTAACCACAGACCAAATTCAGTTCAAATAAAAAAAAGCGGAGTAAGGATTGATCAAAATTGAACGTTTATAAAAGTAATCCGAAACCCTGATTTTCCAAGATTTTTGATTTACCAAAAAGATGAGCCCAAATGCGCCTCCCCGAAGAATCCTGGTAAATCAAGGTTTTATCGTATCATACTTTCTTTAATATCATACTACCACACCTCTCAGGTTTAATATCAACTGCCATGAACTCCTCCTCGCTTCTACTGATATTCGTGTTCAGTATCGACAGGTTTGTCGCTGTCTTCTTTCCTCTCCAACGTACCCGGATCCTCACCGCTAAAAGTTTCACTCTTCTCTGCTCTGTGGCCTGGATCCTACCCATAACGTCCAGCTTATACCCCATCTTCAAGTCCGGGCACTATTACTACTTCCCTGCTTTGGGTTACTACCTAGCCTACCTGGAGATTGACACCCACCTGGAACAGCAACTCCTCTACGCCACCAGTAACCTGATGGTGCTGGCTCCTTTCTTCCTTACCATAGGGATCAGCATTGCAACTGTGGTTAGACTGCAGAGGGGCTCGAGGAAAGGGAAGGATACCAGTTTGAAGAGGAACATGTGGTGGTCTGGCAACAGGGGAACAACTGGAGTGAGCACGTGCAACAGGAGTGGAACAACAGGAGTGCAGAGCACGTGCACCACAGGAGTGACCACGTGCACCACATCCCAGACTGATAAAGAGTCTTCAAGACGTGTCAACCCGCTGAATCTACTATCTAAACAGACCCAGCCGGACATCGTCAAGTCTCCGGACCTGAGATCGTCCTCTCAGACTCTCGGTACCAGAGAGAGTTTGACTGTGCTAAACAGCTCCAAGAACTCTGATTGTTTGGTGACCAAAAAGCGGGTAAAGGCTCCTAAATCTCGGCAAAACAAAACTAATGTTGTCGTGTTGAAGATAATTGGACTTTACATCCTGTGCCTGCTCCCTGGCAATTTGATGAACATTTATGACATGCTTGACACGCTTGATGCTCTTCCAGCTTCTGTTTCTTTTGAATATCTGTCACAAAAAGATAGTGTGCTGACTGCTTATCTTTACATGTGTTTGATATTTTCTACGCTGCTGTATACAGTGAACTCTTGTATTAACCCTTATGTTTATTGTTTTAGATCACAATATCAGCGCAAAATTATTTCTGAAAAGTTTTTGAGTAGTTTTAGAAATATTTTTGGTAGATCTTGATATAAAAATGATCGTTTTTGATGTCAGCTTGATGATTGATCAATTCAATTACTTATCTTAGAAATTTCAATTTTCCTTTAGTATTTTTTTCCGGACGAAGTGGTTTGTTATTGTTTTGAAATTTTATTGTTACTAAATTTCCATTTAAATATTGTACAAAGTGTAAAATGATTTATAAAAGTACATAGTCAATTAGTGCAAATATAAATAAAAACAGCAGAATTAACAACAACAAAAAAGCAACAACAACAGAAAAAAAAATGCTAAAAATCAATGTTCTTACTTATAATTGAATTTCGGAATAGTTGTTGTAATAAATACTTTGTTTCGTTGGTGGTAAAATATACTACTTGTTTTCTTCTTTAATAATATGGTCTGCTCATCCAAGTCAATTCATTGGTTTAGTCTGTATTATAACTGCTAATAATTCGTTGTCATAAACAGTGACCTGGTCAACGCTTATAAGAAACATTAATTTTGAAATTGACAGCCGATGACCAAGAGTGTTGGTTGTAAAATGATCAAATAGTTTGAGTAAAACTCAACAGTTAGTAGATAAAGGCATTGCAAAAGATTTAAAATTAAATATAGATCCATGTGATAATATTTGGCACAAGATAATAACTAATATGTAACAGTACGCAATAGCACGCCCCACATTGCCACAAACAAGGGCGTGGCAAGGATATTTCCAAGGTGGGGAGGCCCGCCGTGAGACAAGCAATAATAATAATTAAAAAACCGAAATTTGTGTCATCTTTTTGGGCGTTTTTATTAAGTAATAATTTTTTAATCGATTTTTAATACAGTAAGCAAGAAAAGTAGTCGTTAAGAAGTAAAATGTTAATAATATTTAGTCATATCCTGGACAATAAGTTCGTAGTGGAATACTTTTTGGAAAATTTTTTTACAAACTTTGACTTTGATGGACTTTATTTAAACGGACATTAAAATGAACGACAGGGCCTTCAGCGTTCAATTAATATCCGTTCAAATAATTATAAAGTCCGATAAGATACAAAATAAAAAAAATAAAATATACACAAATTTAGTATTTGAGTTCAAAGTGTAAAACTGTTTCTAATTGAATCAGGTTCGTGTCCTTTTGTAATGCTTATTAAATTTCACATCCATTAATATTTTACTTGACTGAAACTTCTGAAAAGAACGTGACTATCAGGAGAGCACTGAGCAGTGATGATGGCTGAGCTGCTAGTTAGGATAGCAACTTGTAAATATTCACAGCTAAATGTTGCTGAACAGTCGTCGTCATGACCATCAATACCATCATCGTTACCATCGTTACCACCATCGTTACCATCGTTACCATCATCGTTACCATCATCGTTACCATCATCGTTACCATCATCGTTACCATCATCGTTACCATCGTTACCATCATCGTTACCATTAGGCATTATCGTTACCATCGTTACCATCGTTACCACCATCGTTACCATCATCGTTACCATCATTACCATCATCGTTACCATTGTTACCATCGTTACCATCGTTACCATCATTACCATCATCGTTACCATCGTTACCATCGTTACCATCGTTACCATCATCGTTGTCATCGTTACCATCGTTACCACCATCGTTACCATCGTTACCATCGTTACCATCGTTACCAGCATCGTTACCATCGTTACCATCGTTACCATCATCGTTACCATCATCGTTACCATCATCGTTACCATCATCGTTACCATCATCGTTACCATCGACTTCTGGCTCAACTCCTAGCTCTGTAAATTAGATGCTAAATAATTAAACACCTGTGGAACTACCAATCGTTTGAAATCGTTCGAAACAAAAATGTATCTTATAAATCTTAGATTGAATCTTAGATTGAAAGAGGACGGGGAAATGTTTAGCCTACCAAAACTCCCGGTGCCCATCAAGATATTTTCACACGCAAGATGACAAATAAGATCATTTCTCTGTAACAAGACGTCTAACTATTTCGACCATTAAGTTCTCTCATTGTTTCTTACACGCTGACATAACTCACTAGCTGAAGTAGCTCTGATACGTCGGATTAGAACCTGTATAAGACTGGACTCCAGCTCGCCATTTTTGATATTCAAGCAAATCAAATATGTTCAAAGGGTGCAGGTTGTTCAGCTTGATAAAATACCAGTAGAAATAACTCACTAGCTGAAGTAACTCTGATACGTCAGATTAGAACCTGTAAGACTGGCCTCCAGCTCACCATTTTTGAGATTCAAGCAAATCGAGGATTTTCAAAGGCTGCAGGATGTTCAGATCGACAAAATATTGATGGAAATTATTTCGTCGGCCATAAAATGACTCCTGCAGATCCAGTCTTAACCTTAATTTGGACATAACTCACTTATAGCTGAAGTAGCTCTGATACATCGGATTAGAACCTGTAAGACTGGACTCCAGCTCGCCATTTTTGATATTCAAGCAAATCAAGGATGTTCAAAGGATGCAGGAAGTTCAGCTCGACAAATTACCGATGGAAATTATTTCGTAGGTGCAGATTTCAATATTACTAAACACCCTGGTCGATTAGGAAAGTTCGCACGAGATGGACCACGTTTTTCCCAATTTAACTTTAGAAGATTGTCACAGGAAGAACTTTTAAGATGGGCATATGATATTTCACATGTCTATAGTTCAACTAAGTGAGTTTCGTTTAATAAAATTTTTGAAGCATTTAGTCGAGGGCAAACTGAGGCTAACGAGTCATTTTACATTTTGTTTTCTAATGACAGCTTCCAAGCATGCAATTAAAGTTTAAACGTGTTTAATCGATTCATCAGATCGAACTCTTTCAGAATCCGAAGAGAAGAGGGAAATGTTTTCGCTAATTGAGGGAAAAATGAGGCCAACAAGTCATTTCTAATTTTTGAATTATGTTTGAACAATAACGTCCTTTAAACTATCCTTTGGCTTGGTATACATTATATGGATACTTTAGGTCGATGGTAGACTCCACCTACCCTTTCTGTCTTTTGATGGAGGGTAAAATAAGGCTAACTATCATGGTTTTGTTCATTACTTGTTCTACTGCTTCTTTGGACTAGCCCTTCAAATTGTTTCTGTCTAACCTGTATTCATGAATAGTCGACGATCATGTACTATAACCTGACATGAGTTTTGGGAGGGGAGATTGATGCTAACTCCTATCACGCTTCGGCTTATTGTGATATTTAACAAGTGATAGTTTTAATGTTGAATGCTTTTATTTACAGTAAGATTTAATTTTTGCTTTGACCAAAGATCAATAAGGTTATGGTTCCTCAGTTCAATGAGGTCAAAATGAGGCTAACTTGCTGACACTCTATAAAACATGCCTTTTATATTGGTATCTGGTCAACCATATTCTAACACTACATTTGATTGCGACACAAGTTACTCGATGGTTTGAAAAATATTATTCAGTGGTAGCTAATCAGCTGTTAGCCCCAATTTCGCCTCCTGGAGAGAGGTAGCCTCAATCCAACCTTACATAAATTATGATAAAGTCTCAATAACCTGCGGGCTACAATAACAAGTTTATTAGTGGGTCTATAACATGTTTCCGTACATTAAAGTAAAAATGCGGTCAAAACTCGAATTCTTTATTAGCCTCATTTTATTAGCCTCCTACAAGTAGACTCGGCGATTTCTGAAATGTTGAGCCTGAAGAGGATGAATCAATCTTTATTGTTGACACATTAAAAATAGTCACAATACCGAACCTGCTCGAAAATATACACAAAAGTATACTTGTTAGACTCATTTCACCCTCTCAAAAGGTGGTTAGCCTCATTTTCAACTCGAATCGGAATATTAAAAGCTTAGATCTCGATCAAGTATATTCACTATGGATTATACTTTCAACTTATATATATCATGGACGTAACATGAGAAAGTTCTTTATTTTAAAGTGATGAGGCTAATTCGTTACCTCAATTGTCCCTCGCAGTTCAATCACTCCTACTGAGTCTAGTGAGTAAGCTAGGAGGTCGCCGAACATCTCATTTTAAAGCCGTATCGATTTTCTATACGCATACCAAAAATAAAATGCGTAACTAAAACAGAAATAAAATTACAGAAGTTTTACATTTTTGTCAAAAAACGAACTTTTAGGGGTGTTTCTAATGACCAGGATGCCTCCAGCGTCTCCTAATACTCTAATAGTTACGCGGGTGCCAAATAAGCTATAGTACCAGTGCTGCATATTTTAATTTGGTGCCGCTAGTGCCCCTAAAGTGGTACTTCAAATGCCACAAATTGGTGCCTCATAAGTGCCTCAATGCCGCAAAAGTGTAACAAGGTCATCTCTTAATTTACCGTCAACGATTTCCATATTACGGCTACATTTAAACAACTCTAATCACGGCAGCAACTGAAGCCCTCCCCGGTCCCAAAGCTGAAGTTTCTGTCTGATATTAAATTGGATTCAGATCCTTTGTCATCATTTAACCCATTTTCTAATTTTCTGCTCGGACCGTAATTGGCTGCAGATAATGATACCGATACTAATACTATTTCTCTACTCCGTAATCCGTGACGTTTATGAGAATAACATTTACATTATCATTATCAGATACCGCTGGAGTAATTAGCAATTAACTAATTAACTGGGGATTAGTATGCCAGTATTTCTGCACAACATGTATTATATGTAAACGGTATACTCCTCTCACTGATCTTGGTATGGACATGTGGGTGGTATATACGTTGGGCTGGGCAGGAGAGGAGGAGAAGACGAGCACACAAAGGAGTAATCAAGGAGCAAGAGGAGAAGAGAACGGTCCCAAGTACGCAGGCCCTTCGTTCTAGCATTGTTTAGGACTGGACTGCTTGCTGACCGCCCTGCCATCTTCAAGCCCCAAGCTCTTCAGCCCTCGCTTTTAATTACCCATTAAAGTTACAAGAATAAACATCCTAAGATAATGGCGGTCATTAGGATCATTTACAGCACCCACGTGGTACAGGTTGGTGGTCATGGCAACACACACGTGCTTAGAGTAGTAACCCTATGAAAGGCCACGTGACCACGGGGAATGGTCACGTGCCCCAAAATAAGTCTGAGTTTACCCCTAATGACAACGCTTGATTGGGACTTGTAACCAGCAAGCGAGCAGTTCAAAATAGAGAAATTTGTTTGATCAGCAAATCTAAGCTTGCCTCCCTTGCATACATTTGCTGTAGTGCCGGATAGTACTCCATATTTCCATCCTCTACACTTCCCCTCTATTTCCCCCTTTACTTTTGTTTATTGATTCTCAAAAAATAGTCATCCGCTGCGGTTAATTTAACGTAAAGTATTAGTAAGTGAGGAGTGATTATCCTTTTTGTAGAGGTCACTAATTGCGGGCTAATTGTACTTATGATTGTCACCAGAAATGTGTTTATTTTGCTCTATTTTGTTGCATATATCTTCCATAAGATCCCTTTACGTCTCCTCCGGTCTCTGATTTTGTTAGCCTATTTAAGAGCTAGTCAAGCACGCACGCCACACTGACATGCTTTAGAATAGTCCGAAAGTGCGGGTTAGTCTCACTCCAATCAGTAGAAATGGTGAAGTCGTGGGAGAGTTTTTCACTGAAACGACACTGAAATTGAGATTAACAATCAATTTACGCTCTTGTCCTGTCTCTGGTAATAAGCCGGATTGTGGGTTTATTTGCATTTCAGTTGTTTATTTTCTCACTTCCTAGACCATCGCTTCCGGCATTTACCGTCTAACTCAACCTACCCGGGTTGCAATTATTACTGCCATCACCCTGACAACCCCCAGTAACCATGGCAACATCACCCAATTTTCCCGGCAGTTAAGGTCGTTGCTGACAAAAAGGACGTCTCATAAGTACCAGGTGGTGCTAGGAAGATTTAAAGTTGAGACCTGCCGGTTTTTGGAGTTTTCACCATGTTTATTGGCCGACTTAGGGTCATAATCACGTTAGGAGAGATCAGTGGAATTTCTCTATCTTTGCTTTTGTCTCTTGGAAGTGATAATCATGTTAGAGATCAGTGAGATTTCTTTGTGAGACTCGGAGTTTTTGTCAGCTCTTCCTATAAAACTAACAGTTGTTAGATGGGGAGTTGTTGGTTGTTGTATGTCATGAGCTGCTCTCTTTGATCAATATAACTAATACCTAAGTTATGGCCGGGTACTGCTATTATAGCCATAGTATAAGTTATAAGATACTTAATTTCTATTGAAGCTGGTCTGGAACAGGTATCTGTATTTATAGAACAGGTATCTAGAGTTGATGGAAATATAACCCTCTTTTTCATGGCTACTAAATCTACCGGCCGTTATAGAAATGGACCGTTCATCCTTGTAATATGTACTGTACTACCATCATTTCACTATAAAATCAGTGCATTTGGAAACTTACCGTGGCTAACTCTCAATATGAATATTTTCGTCCGAATCCCTTTTTGTGCTAAGCAGTGAAAGGTTGAATATCTAGGGAAAATGATTAGCTTTAAAAGACCTTTACACACTATGTTCCGGATTTTGAACGTAGGTTTACGGTCCTGATGATAAGGCTGTCGGAAATAAATACTCTGTGTATTTGCAATGTCTGTGTATTTTTAATGTCGTACGGTAAGTCTGGAATTAAGCTAGTCCGGTTACAGTTTGATCCGGAATTTGTGGCAGAGTATTTCACAATGTTTCACTATGCGACCATTAACTCTGGATCTAAAACCTATTCGTGCACAAACCATTACTCTAATCCGGAAAATTAATCGTAAAACATAATTCTAAATTTTCTCCAAAATAGTACATGAAATGTAAAACGACGTGAAAGACAAGTAAAATCCAGAGGGGTAAATAATTCCGTGTGCCATAGCAAATGCTGAAGTTCATACCCAATTTATATCAAACGTTTTCCGGCCGAATATCTATTCCGGTATGAAGATTCCGTCAATACACAAACGGAGCTCTTACCTCATTGTCAATTAGGACCACTTTTAATTCTTTCTTCTTGAAACTAACTTGCTCTAACTAGTTTTACACGATTTGTAAACGACTTACCAAAACTTATGACGACTTTTTGTGCTGCGGCAGCTGGCGCAGGTCTGTGTATTTAAACATTTGTCAAGCAGCCATTGGAGAACATAGTCTCATAGTATTCGATTGTAGGAAATACTTCCTTCTTCCGGTATAACTAACTGTAAACTAATATTATGCCGAATATAAATATATTTTAAACTCGGTGTAAATGTTAAACACCGTTTCAATTGTGTTTGGCTGAATTATTAAAATCTTCTTCTCTCTCTCTCTCTCTCTCTCTCTCTCTCTCTCTCTCTCTCTCTCTCTCTCTCTCTCTCTCTCTCTCTCTCTCTCTCTCTCTCTCTCTCTCTCTCTCTCTCTCTCTCCTCTCTCTCTCTCTCTCTCTCTCTCTCTCTCTCTCTCTCTCTCTCTCTCTCTCTCTCTCTCTCTCTCTCTCTCTCTCTCTCTCTCTCTCTCTCTCTCTCTCTCTCTCTCTCTCTCTCTCTCTCTCTCTCTCTCTCTCTCTCTCTCTCTCTCTCTCTCTCTCTCTCTCTCTCTCTCTCTCTCTCTCTCTCTCTCTCTCTCTCTCTCTCTCTCTCTCTCTCTCTCTCTCTCTCTCTCTCTCTATCTGTGAGGATCGTCTGAATGTATAATGTTAAAATGTTGTATATTGGGGCCCTTATCTGAAATATTTGTGTTCTGTAGGTTGATAATTTTCAGATAGCCCATTTTCGAACATTTTTCTTTCAATGTTACATAGTTTCCAGCAAACATTCCGTTGTAGGGTGCTAACTATATTGTCGCGCTGTTAAATCATATTGTTACCAATAGATCAGATTTAAGAATGATTAAATGTAAGCTGTAATGAATGTAAACCTGTTCCGACTATCAAATTGCTTGCAGTATTTTTTTCGCATTCTTTATTTCAGTAAAAATAAAGTTTAAATTTCGAATTTGCTTGAATTTGATAACCTGGGGATTGGGGTTGGCATTTCTCGCCTTTTTCTCGACATAAAACTGCTTTGCTGTTCACATAGAAGAGGACAACGAGAGATGGTCGAATGTGGTTGGGGTAGAGGCAAATGGGATTTGGGATAAATTCTTTCTTCTCCGTTAACCGTATGAACCATTCAGGAAGGGAGCGCAACATGGCTGCAGTGATAGCACCAATGACTGGATCACTCTCCGAGGACAAAAAGTTCAGCACCAGAGCAGCACTTCAAGACAAACAAAACGGCTCTGATAACCTTGGTAAGTGGTGGTATTTTTAATTGGTAGTTTTAATTAGTTACTATTAGTTAGTTGTAGTTAGAGTTTAATATTTTCAAAATAATAGGATTAATATCTTCATTTATAGTTTATTGGCGAAGATGTACGTTTGAGATTTTCATCCTCTTGCGCCTGCCAAAACATATAAAATTCATTTAAAATTATGTAGTTCGATTACGGGAGATATTCCAAGCCAAATGTGGCTACCTCTAACTTGTTATGTAGCAACGTTTTCCATCAATCTACCACATTTTTAAACGTATGAATCTACACAGTGCAAATCGTTTTATGGCGTGGTTTCCCGCCATATTAAGACCATATATTACTGGTTATATAGTCACTATACTCATTTGACTCCATTTTCTGCTTCTAAACAGCCACATTTGTAGTTAGGGTAGTTAGCCAGTAAAAACAGTGCAGTTTTTAAATTCTCAAAAACATCGTCATCAATCTACCCAAAATCAAGTCGGTTACAATTAATAAACAATTTCACGAAATTTCACGATTTCTTTGCAAAGAAATCGTGAAATTTCGTGGCTGCTCTAACCATTGACAGTCATGACAGTCAATGGTTAGAGCAGCCATAACCTTGTTTATTTAGCGAACTTTTATTCATACAAATCGTGTTTCAGTTTGTGTTATCGAAGAGTTCATAAAGCAAAAAGCTAGAGAAGTCCTCAAATCAGAGCCGGTAATTCCTTAATGTATATTTTGTAAACCTCTGGAGATTTGAAATACGATATCTTCATCAAGGACTCTTCTTGGAAATGGTTTATTCTTGGACCCATTCAAAAAGGGAAATAATAAACCCATCCCTGGATTTGATGAATGATTAAATTTCAGGATGATGGTTTTACTAGTATAAAAGAAGATTTTACAGTTCCTAAACAGGAAGACTTGCCTAATAAGAGACAGAAAGTGGAACTGAAGGATGAAATCGAGGGTAAGTCATGATCCTCACACTTTCCATTATAATCATAATGTATATCATTATATATCATGATATATAATTGTATTGTATATGATATATAATATAATATATAATAGAATCCCTTATCGTTATTCTTAGCCTCGAACGTTAAATTGTAAGCTCAAAAGCAAAACCCTGGCTTTCTACCAGCGGTAGGGGTATACGTGTGTTTTAGGTTTTAATCTTAACTTCAGCTTTACCCAAAAACGCAAAAGATCATCTTTCGTAACATCTCTGTAATAACACTCTACATCACTTAGTATAAATGTCCGATGATCGACACGCTTTGTTATTGTTTATCTACACTCGTGTTTAGCTGCGTACACTTACTCAAACGTGCGGTTTACTACACCTTTTTATACTATGTCTGTGTGAAAACGTGGTGCTGGGTTTTCTAGCGTATTTATTCAATTTTCTTCGTATTTTTCAGGGTTCTTTTCAGTTCACCTTTTTTAAATTCGCACATTTTCTCCTCTTTTTTTTGGTATTCTTCTATTACTCACGGAATATCACATTGTATTTTATTATCGATGTTTGTTTGGTAGTTCTGCGGTATCCATCATTAAACTATTACACAATAAACATGAAGCTGTTTGTCACGTGATAGTGATTATCAAATTATCTCCTCCAAGTTGCTTTTTAGAAACTCTAAACTAGTGTCTCCATTCAGTAGTTTCGTTAATTCTGTCAGCTCATCTCCTCAAGCACTCAAGCAGAGTGTTAAGAAATTTTCTGAGAATTTAGCAAGATCCTGAAAATCCTGAAAACATTGCATGATCCTGGTCATTCCTCTTGCTTGAAAATCAGCCATGAGCTTCTTTACAATCACGTTTTTTTCGCAAAAGCAAATCATCTCTTTAATTGATAATATGTTCCATTTAGAATTAGTATTAAACTTAAAGCCATAAAGGTTAAATCGAATTTTAACATATCTTACGTTTTATTGAATTTTAACTTGGAGAATTAGATGAAACCTGTGCGCTATTATAGCAGGGGCACCTAAGCGTAGCTGCAGAAATTATCTTATCTTAGTATAAATGTTATGTGTTATATATCTTATTTGTATCTTATCTTAGTATAAATGTTATGTGTTCTATATCTTATTTGTATAAATGCAGCTCTCCGGGGCTTTATATATACTTCTAAGAAATATATAAGAAATTCTAAGAATTCAACGAATGTACTAATCGATCAATATGATTTGATAGACTTTATGAGAAACAGCTTTTTTTTGTAAATATTCCAAGAAAATAGCGATCGAATGGTTCAGTAAAAATGAACAACTGTAAAAGTGTAAAGCTTGCTAAAGTCATCAGTAGTACAGACGTTCGAAGGATCATCTATATGCCCATAAAAGGCATATATATAACATAATAACTTATTTGCACCATCTATTTAGTTTTTGGATGTTGCCTCGCTGGACTCATTATATTAATAATAATTAATTTCAACTGCAGGTCGAACATAATGCGTAATGTGGTGGTTGTTTTCGAGGTCATACCCCGTAATATATAGTGGGTATAATGTAGGGTTTCCACTTTCCAACTTTCATTGAAGAGCTTAGGTAATGATTTTTATTTTTATTAGTAATACGTTGACACACGCTGCAACCCCTTTTGATCGCGCGCAAAAGGCCGGCCGAGAGGTGCAACGTGTAGTGTAGCAAGTAATAAGGTATTATGACTTATGTTGTGGCAAGACGTTCTGATTGAATGGGCTTACAACTACAAAACTTTTCGGGAGAACTTAAAATTAATTATTAAAAATTGAAATCCCTTGCAAATAGTCGTAAATGATTAAGTACGTTAATGATGAAATTGAGCTTGGATATCTATGACTTGTATCACAATTGCAGAATGTGATTGTGCACTACTTTCAATCTGTACACAGAGTGCATAGTTGATACAGCGTGCAAGCGCAGCAGCTATAACTCGCAACTTAGTTTGTTAAATCATAATCTAAAAACATTTTTTGCTATTCAAATCTTGCGATGAGTCGAACGTGCTGATTTGGTTGGTTGTTTAGTGATCACGTGACCTCGTTTCAAGATGTTCACAGGTGAGTTACATGAACGTTACATTTTTATGTTTCATCGTTTCATTTCACAGTTTCATGTGTCATTTCATCTTTGTAGTTCGAACTTTATCGAGATAGACCTTTACTGACCCTGACTAGCATTCTGTCAATTTTAGATCTAGTCGATTCTTTATATTTAGACCAAGCAGCATTTAGTCCAGATCCTGTCTTTTCGTTTTTTGATTAAAGAACGAATGCCGCCACTTTAACGAGCACGTTGGCACATGGGGCGGCCGAAAAGGTTCAAAGAGGTTCTTTCGCCTAATCAGAAACGATGAGTGGCACGTTTTACTGTTTTAGAGAAACTAAAAATAAATAACCAACCCACTTTCCCATATCTTCTACGCAAATTTCTTTCCCTAGTTTCTGCCTTTCCCGAAAAGTCGCAACTTTTGTTAAATTGTGAAAGCAATTACCAATTAGGAACCAGCAGCGACCAAATCTAAGAATGGATGTCACGTTTCTAAACATATATTTTACCTCCCCACCAGTATCTAACTCATGTGTGTGACGCAATGTAACGTGGTTTTTCATAACAAGGGCAGCAGGATCTAGCTGAAAAAGTCTTCTTAATGCCTTATTATTTACACTACGATAATGCATGACCGGCTATTGTTTATCATATTATTACCTGCTTCATAAGTTTTATAAATATAGTTGACTTTTTTCTCTATTCATTTCTTCTCGTGATTTTTTCATGTTCATACCTTAAATTCTGCAGAATAAATCGATCAGAAAAGTTATTGAAGCTTTAATTAATATTTCCAGAGGATGAAGTTTTTCTTGCACTAATATTCTCTGCCAGGAAATTAAATTTTACGCTATGGAAACAAGCCCAGCACAAACTTTATATATGTCTGTGCTGGAACACAAGGAAACATATCCCCGCTTCTAAATGTCATCATGCAGTCAGGTGAAAGACAGTAGGGTTATTACTTATTTGTTAGCACAGCGTGAAATATTGGAGTGTACAGTTTATGGCAGAAATAATAAATTAATCCCTTTCTAAAACTGGCTACGATCCTCCAACTGCACCGTTTAATGAGCTTTCTGAACAACTTTCCAACTTCGTACATATTACAGTTTGCGTCGCCCGGACACGATGTCTGCTCATCAGCTTAGAAAACGATTGGTAAAAATAGTGGCAGATCATGAAACGCAAATAAATAGTTTAAAATAGAGTTAGAAAACTGAACAAATGGTTTAAAATGGCCGTTTAGGCGTGGCCCACAATACCGTGTCACGTGACGCAGTCGGTGAGTGTGTTTTGCAATGTCTGCATTGCTTAGTACCAACTGATTTTTGCTATTTTTACCCGGAACTTACATCCCATTAATTTCAGACCGATTACCGAGATAATTTTAAGGTTTTAGTACACTGTCAGTTTGTGTTTCATATGTAGGAAACGATTGCTAGCCGTTTGACCAATACAGGCTATTAAAGTCCCTAAGGGGACCACATCGTGACAGAATACGTCCCTTAGATTACAAGATACACTCTGAACCGGATATGAGACTGAGAGTCAGGGTGATGTGTAGTGAGTGGACAAGTTGAGGCAAGATCTCCGGCGCTGTCCCTTCTAGTATCCCTAAAGTCCCTCCTATAATTCTCCCCAACTTATCTTGAGCCCATACCTCTTCTGTTCCGTCCATCCCATCTCCATCTTCACTTCAGTATATTTAATCCAGTAGTAATGGCCAGAAATGTTAACAATAACATGTGATAATATAAAAGTGCACTTCTGGAGCCTTTTCAGCGATTTAAGAGCACTAAGCAACTACTAAGCACCATGCAGCTACTAAGCACTAAGCACCATGCAGCTACTAAGTTTATTTTCTCAGGCGTGGGTCCCTTGAGCCGGAACTAACACAGTAAAAACTTCTTCACAGACATGATGATGTTTGTAAAACTGTGGTTATTTGTGAAATTCGGCTAAAATAACATCGCTTAGTGTTAACCGAAAAGTATGAACAGGCCATTGGTATTGAATGGGAAAATCTTAAAACCCTCCGGAATCGGAAATCATTGGCGTGATTCAAGGCTTAGAACAACTATTTTTGGGCCATGTGCTGTGAATTTAAGAACATTTTATTTTTAAGCTCTGCCATAATTCTACCTGTTCGGTGAGCATAACTATTAACTAGTTATCTTTCATTTGTGTTTTTTTTGCTGTGCATAACTATTAACCAGTTATGTTTTGCTTTTATTATTTAATGTCGTCAAATTATGCCAGAAAAGTGTGATCGTTCTCATCGTAAACGTTATAAAATTGTTTATTACCTGTTTTGCGATTCCCCTAACCTCCATTTTTATCACTTTAAATAATTCGCGAGAAATGATCACATCACCTAAATAAAGGCCGATTACTTGATTTACAAAAAGCTTTTTCTCAGAGGTACCACAAGGCACAATTCAAGCTGGATCATGAGTCCAATCTTTCTTGGATCCTGGATCTTGGGCAGGGTTCTTAGCTAGCAAGTTTCCCTTACTTAAAGGTTCATAAATTTATCGTACTCGCAGATTTATAAATCTGTGCTACTATTACTAAGGGATCTCGATTAAGATCTGAATAACAAATATTCTAATTTCTAAGACCAAGGCTTGTTACATTATACCTAACTTTTCACAGCATGTTCACGGTAAAATATGACGTGCAGGATTGTTTAATCTCCTTTTCTCAGATTTAAACACCTTATAAGCAAGCTTAATTACATTGACATCCGCTTCCTCGTCAATCTGTAATTAATTGTGAGCGCTGAGAAGTAACTTCGTTAAATTAAGGGTGAGAGGGTTGAGGCTCTCGGCCGTCAGGTCCAACCAATAAGAAAAGGTGCTGTTCCGGGGAACCAATGAGGGGATGTATTTTGCCCACGTGATTCGCTCGACCAGCAGTGCATATACCAGGTGCACGGTCGGGTGTGGGTATATTTATAGCTCAATTCAGTGTGTCTAAGCAAGTACCTTTATAACGGTGCCAGATCTGCAACTAGCCAACATTTCCAGACAGCACGTGCGACTGGGTAACCAGTAGCAACCACCAGCCCTCACGTGCAACCAGGACAGCCAATCAGCTGGCCGGGATTCCCCACGTGACGCGAGGGTATTGCAACGGTCAGACCGGATGTTGCATCCTAGCCAGACAGACGTTATATGTACCCGAGCTATGTAGCAGTTACACGGGAGGGGAGCACCACGTGGTCCTGGAGATCACGTGACAGCAACCCCACCAAGGGACACTAACCTAGTGCCAACAATTCTAACAGCATACACCTCTGAATCTTAGCAAGGGCCACTGTACAGGTGCACCTGACCACTTCTGATGGTTCTGATCATAATATATGGGTAAAGGATGAACCATTGACGTTGAAAAATGGGAGGCTAAAAAGCTAAAAGATGCAAGAGGTCAACAAATGCTGGGTGCTTAAAGTTAACAAGCAGAAGACGAAGGGTCAATTCGAGACGAGAGAATGAACCATTCATTAGGATGGTTAAGACTTAACCAGGTTCTAAGTACTCATCTCTGATCTCAATGAGATGACGAATTTATAATTGGGTATCAATCATCCTTTCGTATCTAAATTGGCCTTAAAATATTTGTGTCCAGTTCGATAGAAAGCAATTTGTGGCCTTTTTATTCCAGTTTGACCATTTGCTTCATCGTCCGTATCTCGCCAGAGCTTGATCTTCTTTTTCAATAAACTGAATTTAGGGAAGATAGCAAATAATAATTAAGTTTTGAGTAGCCATTTACATTTTCATTCATCACCAAGTAGTGCATAATTTAATTAATAATACCAATATAGTTCTAACAAATAACGACTTTCGTCGGGAACAATTTTGTAGATCAAATTATTTGAAAATCTTCTCCATAAAACCTTACTTTAATGCAAAAACTTGGGCAAATAACATAACGAAGAAAGAAATATTAAATAACATATCTTCAAGGCCGGGGGCGTGACACATAACTATTGTTGAAACGAAGTTCATTAAACTTAATTAGTGACGAAGGTTGGGTCAATTATCGCCTTCCTAAAATTAACAACAACTGAAATCATGTTCGCGCAGGTAGATATGAACACGAAATCATTAACATCTTACTATACAGTATAGATACCTATAGTTGTGGAATGTGGATGACTACATCTTGCTTCAAAACCCCATACCTTAATACTTTAATAGTAAATACTTCGTAGCCTATATTTTCGCGCGTCTGACTTTGTTTTCGGGTCGGAATCAAGATACAACAACAGATACAAGGGCAGGTCTCTCCCACAAGTTGGGATGGCCTGAGGTACTTATCTCCTTTTCGGTAACCTTAAGCCACTCTGTGCCGGGGTACTATACTAGCTGTAGGGGGTTAGTCCTACGAGCCAGAGAGTGTGTATCACCAGCCGAAGCTGTACCAAATCACAGCTTGGTAACTGGCCGACTTGTATCCGACCGGATTTGAACCCGGGCGTTCTGCTTGGGAGGCGATCGTGTTACCACTACACCACCCGGCCGACAAAAGAGATATAAATAGTAGTTTCGGAGGGGATTTATAATGTTGGACTATAGTTTGGGTTAAGGTTATGTTTGCGTTATTGAGATTTCAGTTATAAACAAAATAGTCATGTCCTATAAACATATCGATAAAATATAATATTGAAAAACTCTTATTTTGAGATCTTTAAATTAGATTTCATGGTTTGAAAAGAGACTGCACTTTTATCGTTGTGCATTATGGGTCATGACTTTTCTCCATATTAAAACATTAGTTGTTGTAATACCAAAGCCTCTCCACATTTGACAACCTCAGCTCAAATGACGAGGAATCAAAACACAAACTGGTAAAATCTCTCGCACTTTAATAATAATCACTGATCGTCCTCGCTATGACGCTTCCGAAAACAAAACAGATACAAAATCATCTTAAAGCGCTCCTAAAGATGGGGTGTACAGAGAACGATTCCATTAGTTACCAAACAAAGTGACACGTACAGTAAAATGTGCTTTAGCCACCACCAACCTACACTCTACAGGCTGTGTTAAGGAAAGGGAAATATACGTCCAATTGTTTTCCTACCACCAGAGACTCCCCCACACCATGTCGCACTTAAGGCCGCTGTCGGACGGTTCCTGCTGTCTGTCCTGTGATCCCTTAACCGGGGGTTTGTTCCTTAAATTAGGGGGTTCAACCCCCGGGATGTCCCCCGTACATCCCCCTCACCATCCTTGTTCCTTGTCCACTACTTCTTGAACGTTTGAATTACATTCTCCCGCGCTCAGCAACCAACGAACGTGAGATAGCAGCTGGTTGGTCGGCTTGCTTTGCACGTGGCGTCAACTTCCTGCTCTCATTGGTCGCCTGGTAGCCCACGTGAAACTTGGTCCGGCCAATAGGAAACAAGTGCTGGGTAGTAGAGCAAGCAGCTCGGCAAGGTATCCTAATGTAAATTGAAGAGTACTCGAGCTGCTGTGGTATTAGCGGTATGATCTCTCCAGGGGACTTTCTCGACTAACATTTTGTAATTTTTTTCTTTTTAGCTTTAATCAACACAATATCTTAAACGGAATTTTCGCTTTTAGAGTAGCTTGTTTTTTTCTTTCTGACGGCCACTTTTCCTTATTTTGGGTCACCGATTTATCAGCTAACCTCGTATTTGGTACAAAATTCACGTCTCATGAATATCAGATGGACCTATAATATTTTTAAAAAAATAGATTTCACCTTTTGGAAGTTTTAACTTAGGTCCACCACAGTATCATATGGCTGTAGAACTGTATTTGATGTTACAAATTATACTACCGAATATAACATTATATAACCTCAATTCTGACGAATCGATTTTAAAACTGATCTCCCAAAAAAATGGGCTGCGCGTCGAAAAACTACATCGCCAATTTCAGTTGAAAATTGTGCAAAGTTTATTAAATTTGGAAACTATCTCTATAACCACGAACTGATTTTTACTTTGTTGCAGATATGAACGAAGGTCTACAGATAAATGGAATAACGTTGGGAGGTAATTGGGATACAGAATCTACCCTCCAAAAAGAACTTAACATCGGTTTTGACGGTTGGTACTTTTTTCGGTTTATTTCTTTTTAAATTGTAGATATTAATTTGTTTATAATCTCCCGAGTTTTGCCGCACATAAAGCTGTATTACGGTTCTGCTGTTCCCAATTCTTTCATCAACTCAACATAATATATCGGTAATTTAGAGGTTATTTGTACTTTGCCAGTATTAATGATGAATGTCCCAACTCTAATCTCTTTCTAGAAGATTCTTGATCTTCTCAAAATCAATTTCAATTTATAAGTTCATACTCTAATAATAATGCTGTAGCTTTGTATCGCAAAAAACTCGTTTGCAAACATTTTATCGTTCACATGTCTTAATTCTCAATATTATAAAGTTTTTCTAGCTGACATCATAATCGACTCCTACAAATAACTTCATTGAATTTAACTCTGATAAGATTTTACATTTTGACTCAGACTCCCGTTGAATTTAATAGTGAGGATATGCAGGAAGACTTTGTTGCACACTAAAATGCAGACTAGTGTATATTTTTGTGTGTACACTGAGAATATAAGCCAACTACTTCAAATATGGCTGCCAGCCCCGACAAAACCATGACTAGATCTGACCTTCACATCTATCCCTTTTCTTTCTACTTTTTTAAAGAGTGAAGCGATTTGAAATCAGGGTGATAGGAGCACCCAACCGAAGAGTTTACCATGTATGGCTTATAATGTTTGGAGTGTTTTTATTGAACCCAGAGGACTGTTCAAATTTCTACTCCTTGTCACCAATAAAGAGTGTTAAGTGTCCGAATAGTTGCTGGATTAATCAGTTTGGAAACAGACCTTAATCAGATTATTTTCGTCCCGACGAGTTTTTTCGTTCTCAAACTTTTAAGGGCTCTTAGTTTTAACCTTTAAATTAGGATACTAGACGTAAAGAAGCTAACAAATATAAACGAAATATAAGAATAGGTAAAGATAATTGAATGGCTAATAACCTCGGGTGATTGACGTGGCACCTTGTTTTTCTTAACTACTTCTTTAAACAATTTGATGTGTTTTGATTGCTCCTAACAGGCCAAAACACCTTATCTCAACAAGGCTCAAACAATGCTGAAATCTAATCTAATTCCAGTTCAGTGCCCGAACATCCCTTTGATTGGTAACCAGTCATTCTAACCCGATCAGCAAGCATTAAAACAAGTACCCCAGTCATTCCACCCAATCAGCAAGCACTAGAACAAGTATCTTGTCACCTAGAGCCCTGTCTTGTTCCCCTGCCAGGATCACAATTGAGTCGGCACAACCCAATTGGGTCCTGAATTGAGTTTCAGCACGTGAACTTGGTCGCTGATTTGTGTACAAGCTTCTGAAGAAGTGATGTGAGACTTGACAGACCTGTCTTAACTACTGCAGACTAGTCAGAGTGCCCTGTCCTGAATTTGAGAGGTGGTGGGATTGGGTTGCTTGTTTTCGTTCTCACTACTATCTGCTGATTTTTGAAAGTTCAATCAGAATATTATTTCCCTCTTGTCGGAGTTGCTGGTTTATCGTAATAGATTTGTAAAGACTGTGCAATGTCTACTTTAATATTGTTCAATCTGTCTCTCCTGGGCTAAAATCTATCTGTTTTCCGACGTGAGCCATCATTCACAGAATATTATAAAACCACATATTCCATTTAAACCGCCGCAGGCAAAAATCACCCTTTTTTACATCCAGCATTTAGTTATTTGAGGCGAGGCCCAGTCCTTGAATCACGTTCAATACTGTCATTCTGTCATCTACTGTTTCCCAGCAACTTCCTCCTAGCTAACCAGGTCACCTTATTGGTCGGTTCGGGTCAGGTGGTTAAAATCCTATACTTTCATTGGCTAATAGTCTAGTTAGAGGGCCTGCATATGTGGTTTTCCCAAGGCTTTTATTAAGAGGTGTGTTTTACGGATGTGGACCAGTTATTTGTTTTGGTCTATACTTACATTACTAGTGTGCTGTCTGACCTTGGCTTCAGGAAAATGCACTTATTTGTTTCCTATTACTTAAAATAAGTGTTAGACTCGCTCATATTTGGGCGTTGAGTACTTAATTCGGATGTAATGATTAATTTATTGATTTATTTTGGTAGAGGATTAGCTGACTTCATTGAAAAGGTTCAGCTTGAGAATAGGACACACTAAAAAGTTCCATCTGATTTACTGGATTCACGTTAAATTTAAGTTACTTCATAACTTAGAATTCCAATCTTAGATCGAATATCAAAATAATGAGAACATTTTATAGGCAATAACCAGGTAAATAATTGGACTGCATTGTGTTCACGTGACAGATAATTACCTATTTTAAGAATAATTGGGTGTTTCAATTGATATTTAAAATCTATATTTATCGAGATCTGTGGACAAAGGATTTCATTTTCCAAAAATAGGCTCGACTTCAATCATTGTGAAACGTAATAACGGAGTTTTCATCTTATTACTCCAAGCAGGACCAACCGGTATAATTAAGTTGAATAAACACTGAGCCCGTAAATTAGATTTCTGTAGAGGATTTTAATTTGCAGGACAAATTCCTTTTCTTCTTGGATATCCAGGGATTATTTCTGCTTCTCAAAGTATTTTTACGTAAGAAAAAAAGACTCCCAAATATGCAGACCCAAAAAACTATCCAACTTAAAAACTTTACTTAGCTCACCCATCACTTCCAGACGTTTTATGAACGTTTTGCGAATGCTTTTGATATTTACTAATGAATGAAATATGATGGCCGAGTTTCACATATCATGACCGAGTGTGACATACTATGACCGAGTGTGACGTTCACACTTATTTAACACCCCCTTCTCTCTCTCACGTGCCCTCTCACCATGGTCATGTTTTCTCGATCCTCACAGTCTGTCCCTTACTTCAGAGTCTGTGCCAGCAAGCCCGACTCCCTCCATTTACACCTTATTAAATCTAATCCAGTCTACTGTGAAGCGATGTTGCAACCTTTGTCCTCTTCTGGGAACCCCAGCTCTGAAATTAGTAACAAGATTCCAGCTCTCAATTTAGGGGATGATTTGCACTTTGGCAAATTGAACAAGGGGATGAGTAGTGATTATGTCATGGTTTAAGGAGGCTGATCAACCTTCATCGCATGGGCAGTGGAGCTGCGTGAAAACGTGTTGGACTAAAAAATGGGATATCCTTTTAAAGTTAAAGTTGTCGGACAAATGTTGGGGATCAGTTAAATTTGGTTTCTTTGGTTTCGGCTAGACATGAGTAATGTTGGTTTTTAAAGTTAAACAGTTAACTAGTACAGTACCTTCCTACTGACATCTTTCTGATGTATGACAGTGGTTTCGTGATAAATTAGCGCTACAGTTAACAAGATCTCAGTAGCGTTTGTAAAATGTCACAGTCAACTTCCAGCCCCCTTAAATTTAGTGGTTTGTTAACCATTGGTCCTCCCTTTCAGTCCCACTCTGACAAATGCGCCCCTCCCCTCCTCTGACAGCTAGCCTCGTTCTTATTGGTCCAGCCTGACCACGCGGGACAGATTCTGTCCTCCGATTGGTGGGATATTTTTGGAGTCTCGCCGTCTGGGACTTTGAATTATATTTCAGTTTAGTTTGAAAATATTATACTATAAGTTGCGAAGTTTGAGAACATCAACTCGCTTGTCAATTTTTTAGATTCACTGGGAATGTATCCCGCTTGGTTGAATTTTGAGAACGAATGACTGAGTGAAAGTCTAACGAAACAGTAATACTAATCTTCGGCAATATCGTCAGATATCTTAAGTTCAGTTGTCTCATTTATAATTTAAATAAAATCCTCCGATCGAGTACTACGACGAGTGTCAGATCTCAAATAAACCAATATCGGATCAAATCACTTCTAACCTCAATAATTGCACATCGCTAATCACGTGATCCTTACCCCTAAATCACTTCTCATGACTATCCTCATTAACTACAAGCTACTTTTTCACGACCTAACAACATCAACATTAACCATGATCAGATAACCAGAAAACCATATCCTAAATACCTTAAATACCCTGACAACACTAGCTCACTGTACTGATCACGTGACTCTTAAAGCGAATGACTGGACGAACCTAATTTATAAAAGGTGCCTTAACTTTGATTGTTTACTTTAGGTAATCTCATTGATAGTGCGAGCACCGTCACACACACTTCTTTTTGTTTATGATTTGTAGTAATTGTAATTCAAGATCATTAAAGGAAGCGTTGCTGCCACTTGTACCGGAATAGATTTTGCTTCCAATCTTTAGTTGAACCCTTTACCTCAGTTATATTGTGGGTGGAGATAAATTTTGATATTTTCGTCAAAAGTTTGTTCTGAATCGCGTCACTTTTATAAACGATAATAGTTTCAATTTTGCGATGTATTAGTTAACCGCCTAACGACTTGTGTCTCAGCAATTCATCTCGAAGTAACTATAACTGTGACTACTGGAATTAGTCCTGGTGAGGTGCTGTGTTTGTCAGCCGTCACTCAGGCAGTCTGACAAACGGTGCCCCATTATCTACTTTTAGTATCAACTTTTACTTTCTCTCGTAACCTGTCAAGTTTTAGTTACTTTTACCTGTGTTTCCTGACCGTGTCCAGACTTTGTATTTGTCAGGTGATGTGACATCACCTCCATTATTCTGCCCTTGATTGGGTAATGGGTCACTGACTTTACAGTTACTTCACCGAGTTGAGGTAACTTCACTGCTATAACAGTCGGAGTAAATCATTCTTTTGATTCCCACAAAAGAGGCCGCGCGACTGTTCTCCAGTCTTATAGTTGCTACAAATTAGAAACGTGCCTTTTATATAGTAGGATGGTGGATGCTATTTCATTCAGTAACTGATTTTGTGATTCATCTTCCTTTATCTGTTTCTAATGGTCGTAGGTTCCAGCTTGCCATGGGTGTAGTTAGGCAGGAGGACCAAAAGATCATACAAATTTATCGAGGGAACTGTTTCTTGGCTAGCACCCATAAAGAAATATAACTCGGTACAGCCCTGCCCTTTGTCCATGAAAACATAAATCTCCATCAATTGTCAACACAGCTATTCTGTCTACCCCTAACTTGAACAATACTTCCTATTATCCCGATACTGAGTAACAAACCCACAGTTCCACCACGTCTGTCCCAGAGTCACGTCTGTCCAGTCTAAAAGTGACAAGTTACCAACCAGGCGTGGCCACCTCCCTCACTCCTCTCTTCAGCTGTCCGCCTGTTTGTTGTTTTAGGAGGAGTGGTATTGGTTTCTGATCCATGTTGTTTATCTTATGATAAGGGTTGCGCGCTGTGTTGAGAGGTAGTTAACATTGTTAGGATTGTTTCTAGTTCACTGTTCAATCTAGGATTCGATTAAATCCTGGCTTCTATGCGTATTGATTTCTGATTCGGTTTTGATTTCTGCAGTAAGTTGGTTTTTACTTATGATGAAGATAATGACCTCGATTTGAAAACTGGTCATTCAATCATCCTGATGTATATTGTTAATAACCGTCACTTTCATCTCGTTACTGATGTCTTACTTTCTAAAATATGGGTAGCCGGTAATGGAACCTTGCAAGTATCTCCATCGTTTAGTTTAATCCTTTCTTTAGGACCTTTTACCTTAATCAGGTTATTTCCTCCCTACCACAACTAATTCGTATAGTATGAATTCTCCTATTCATCTGAATGCATTCCCCTCTAATTTTACCAATAAATTTAGTACATAAATTTATCAATTAGCAAATATTATCATTCGAAAAGAGCAGGCATCTGTTTTAACACGTGACTTAAATAACTGATTTTTATTGGCTTACGTTAGCACGAATCAATTGACTAAAACCTCAGCCGGGGCTCGTTGAGAAATATACGTACTTTTACAACAGAGGTTGTGATAGTTTTCTTAATTTTCTTCTCGCCAATTAGACTCTTTCCTAACTGCTTTTGTTGCGCTGAAATGAAATTTCATTTTAGCATATTTCAATTCTCTGACTTTCCAATCGTGAAAATATATGCCGTACGTTTCGGATCTTGGTGTTTGAGAAAATATTTTGGGTCCCCGTTCCCTCCACAGATAAAACTCTCAGGCTTGTTATAACTGTCCATTACAAGTTCCCTCCTCGACTTCTCTTCTCACATCTCCCCATTACACCTCCGTGGGTCCCCCAACTTTCTCATACCCACACCAGCTGTAGATTAACGGACATCCGGGAACCCTAATTAGGACTGAAATCCAACAGTTGCAAACTAGTCGCAAGCTAATTAACAGGGCGACTCTCATGTTTCATCCGGCACGAGCATATAGCTGTATAAATAGGGTAAATATAGAAATACGGTTAATGAACATCACGTTAATCGGTAAATATTTTAGGTTCAGTCAGTGTGGCTTGGTCATTATTTTGGTCTTCAGGATATTTTCCGTTTTTAAAACGTTTAGGTTTAGTGTCCTGACGGCGCGGTCATTGTAAACCACGACGTCAAAATTGCCTGATTCTGTCCGGACAGGGTCTGAACAGTGATCAGATGCTGATTTACCTGGGCTACGGCACTGCCAATTATCGGATTTGCTAGATTTTATTACTTTTAATTACCCTCGTGAAACACGCCTAGTGCAGAGTTTTCCTTGTATTTTATACTCACGACTCACCTGGTATTCTTGGTATTCCGACTTGTGCTGCGACGTTTCAGGGATCCGTTTTATTTCCCTGCCGTAAATAGCTTTCATTGTTTAAAAGTTGATATTTTGTTTGTTTGTCCATGCAGGATTATGAAAGTGTTGGTAGCTATGTACTCAACCGTCCAAACCTTCTTAATCGCCGAGTAAACCAAATTTAACTTCCACTAGTTGTGACCAGATGTTGTGATTATAATACATCGTATAGACCCTAGTTGTATCCGGATGTAGATAATAACAGCCTGCCTCCCCACTTCTAATCCCCACATGCACACATCACGTTGTCGGCCCGGGCCCTGTACCACTAGCAGGAAATGACTGCTCCTCCGGTAGACGCTTTGGAGCCCCGTCCCTGCGTTTGCACCTCCCTTTATTCTCCATCACGTGGTGTTTTAATCGTGCCACGTGGTGCATTTGGTTAAAGAGTTTGTTTCGTGTTCATGTGATTGAGTTAGGTCATATTGGGCACATGTCGTCCTAGTGTTAATAGTCACTAATTTAGGTTAACTTGTGAGTGAAAATTAACAAGTTTCACAACTCCCACTACTTGGCCTAATTTCTGCTCCAAGTACGGAACTATTGCTTGCGTCTAGACTTTTTAATTATTAACCACCTTCATTTGTTGCGAGATCGCCAGTTAGGGCATTCATTTTTATTTGTTCTCTTTGAATTCGATCTTGGTTTTTTTTGTTCCCAACATTTTCCATAAACTAAGTTTTATTTTAAGGGTTATTCATCTAACTGTCAGGTTCATCCAGTCTCTTTAGACTTTGATACAAATTGTAGAGAAATATTTAGTAAGAGTCTTTTGATCTTTATTCTACAAAATATCTAATCCCCTTCTGTCTACTAGTAAACAATGACAGTATTATTCAATACTATGCCTCCCAGCCTTTCATCATTTTGCGGTAAGTTCCTATGTAAGGGTACCAAACACAATAGTTCCCAACATCTATTTAGTATTATTTCTACCTCACTTGAACATTAACAGAGAGGCTGCCTCCGGAAGACAACCAGAATGGTTATTCTCACCTTTTAGCCTAAACAATAAAATATTTCCTTGTGTTTGACATATCACTATATTTCAGATAACAAGTTGATGAATGGCTCCAGTTCAAGTTCCCCAACATCAGACAACAACACCAGCAGTGTCAGCACCATGTTGGAGTCTCTCCGCTCCAATCTCTCCCAGATATACTCAGGTTATTTGAAATTTTATCTTTTAAACATATAAAAGCAGATTAAAACCCTATAAATTGGTAATATAAACACTGCTACTCCAGCCAGCTTTCCTAATAATTCCCATATCTAACCCTGAAATTTCCCACCAGGTGAGTCCCCAATGGAAACCCCGGCATACGTAAAAACAGAGACATACGTTAAGACAGAGAGCCCGCAACGAGGAGCGGATTTCTGTAACGATGAGAACAGTTTCAACCACCAACGAGATCAGGCTCTAAATGGAGGAGGTGAACAACAGTTCGATAACATCTACAACCCTGCAGTCACTTCTCTATCGTAAGTTATCAGATTCCGTTTTCTAATTATATTCTGACTACGGCGTTCAATGAAACTCAATTTATCGTTATTCGACCTGTGAACTTTGATTTATATCATTGTGATTGGGATTGGGATTTCATTACTTTAAGTCGTCCGTCTATTGCTACGATTGTTTTTATTTTTTATAAGTGCCAGTGGTTATCAGTTGTCAGTTTAAACAATAATTGATGTGTTATTAGAAGTTTCTGATTGGACGACAAGACACCCTCATGACACTTAAATTGATTTCCATACATCAACTATTTGGGCAGCTTGCCAAGGGTGAAGGTGTACCGGATGTAAATGGGTGCTGTAACGGACTCGTTAATGTCACTTAAAGTGGTGCAAGGTGGTAATGGGTGGTAGTTGTACGCGATATGTAGTACAGTTCAGTGGTGGTATCCTCAGAGGGAATATTAACGGTGTGGTGGAGCCATGTTGATCATTATTGTCTTGGCAACCATGAAGACCTGGTCAGTTGGTTCAGGTTAGGTGACAAGTGAAAATATTGGATCGGTTAAGGACCGAAGATGTTTCCTTGTGGTACACCATAATTCCCCATTTGCTTGTATATTGTATTCAGTTGATCTGCAGTTATTTAATGGTAACACTCAACTTAAGAAATCTGGGGAACATTCATATCTTTTATCGAACAGACTGCAAAAATTGCACATTATAGCCGTGCACATCTAATTGTATAACCCTATCTGTGTGACTGTTATCTATAGTACATTATACAGTGTATAACACACGTAATAGTACATTATACAGTGTATAACACACGTAATAGTTACGCGTTACATAACTGAGACATCCTAGTTTTTTACGCTCTGTGACATCAAATGTTGTTAAGGTCAATAGCAGCAGGTTGCATATAATATCTTTCTCGCTGGGCCGTTTCCTAATACGGCCCTGCTGTCGCAATTTCCTACCTACGGTGTATGGAAAGCTAGCTCGAGGATTTGTCTCCTGCATTAATTTAGCTGTTAAAAATAGTTCACTCTTGTTGCTCTCACTCTCTTTCTCTCTCTGCAGACGTTTGAGACAGTTGTTTTTAATCCTGCAATTTTATTGGATGACGTCTGGTTTTCCTGCGTTCTGATTGGATGCCCAGTATGGTCGTGGTGTCGTGATTGGTGGACCAGATTGCATGTGACAGTTGCTTGGTAACGTGACTGCTCACGTGCAGTTTGTGATAGACATACACTGTTGGTATGGTCACGTGGTAATGCCAATACTTCCTGGTTTACACATATAGCCACTTTATAAGATGTTGCTTGTCCCGAACACACCAATAGCTGCACTCAACAAACCCACGTGATTTAATGTCCACCAATGAGAACTCTCCATTCCAAAACACGTGAGCGGTCACGTGTCTCTCCAAAGTTTTATTCGACATAGTGCGTCTCCATTGTAAACCAGCGCACCAATCCCACATCTCCTCAAAACTGCGTGTCTCCTGCTCAACCAATGGGGGCCTTACTTGATAGTCATGTGACGCACAGCTCCAGAGGATTCCTCGAGAATATTGCTGTGCTGATCGTTCACAAATAGAATGGGAGCTCGTCTGTTATTGGACCAAATAGTGGAGAAATATTGTCCTAGCCGTACAGTCAAATAGTGGGACGGGTAACAATAACATTCTAGGGAGAATGACATTCTAGGGAGTCATATGAGCGTGCTCACGGGCTCTCTATCAACCAGATGATGATGAGTTTCATAGTAACCACCCCTGATCCATGCATGCTAATTAAAGTAACAATATCAGCAACCTGGTTCATGAAACCTTCATAACACTCCTTGATCACATGATCTTATCAGATATCAGCTGACCCAATCAGTTGACCACACGACCACTCTCCCACCCCATACAGACCCATTTCTAGCCGTCTTAACGACCTTACTTCTAGCCGTCTCAAAGAAGACCAGCCCACATGAACTAGCTTGTTGTTGAGGACTCATTGTAGGGTTAGCCCGGGAGTACGATGTCTGGGTATAAAAGTGTGTTTGGGGATCAAGTAACAACTTACGTCTGCACTTGTCTGGTTTATTGTTCATTGAAGGTTGTGTTTGTAAAGAAAACATTGATAGTCTCAGTTGTGTCTCTCCAAGAAAACATCCCTTTTAACGAGTGCCTCATGGTTGAGCTCATTATCCGGTGAGAGAGAATTTTAATTTTATAGAAATTTCTACAGAAAGAAATTTTGATATAGGTAAATTTTAGTATAGGTTTTTTTAACCTGTGCAAAAATTCAAATTATAATGAACAGTTTAACAATTAACGCCTTGGTCTGAAGAATTTAATTTTAAACTGACATAACAGTTAGTCTTGAAAAAATGTTTGATTCATTCCATGTTTGGATCAAGATCCCACAATCAATAATATCTCCAAGGCTCCAAACCTACCCCAACGGCATTTTCTCACATCTCCTATCTAGGCCTCTGACAGGAAATAGTTATCAGTAAGCAGGCGTACTTTAGAGGGTGCTTAAAAGCTTTAAACTTTTAAACAATAGAGCCTACCCCGAGTAATAGTTCCTGGTTGCAAATCATTACTGCCTGAGTTAAGGGGTTTTTGAATCGCATAATCCACGTACTTGTTTCCGTGCATTTGTTACTCTCCGTGTTCCCGCTATTTGTTTGTATTCGATCTTTTGATGGAGAATGAGTTATTAAGATGAGCTTCACTGGAATGGACTACAGATTGTTGAGTCATGTAGCGGCCGGTTTGAACCAGTCTGCGTATCCTAGTTGTGCGAAAACGGCCAGTTTCACCAACTGTGCTTTTGGTGGCGTACAGGCTTTCAAAACACAACAGAATAGCCCCGATACAAATGAAGTTTTAGATGTTGTCTCTGATCACAAGTGGTGAGGACTAATGGGAAGAGTTTGTTGCTGTAATCATGTTGTTGATCGGTTTGGTTTGGTTTTATATCATGCCCTCACCCCCAATACTTTAATATCAGGTTTTAATCTTTTCCATCCCCCAGGTCATCAACAATGCAGAGACAGTTCTCCAGTAATCCCTACGACACGAACAACGTCAATATGATCAACAACGCACTATTCTCCCAGCAACATTCCCCCTATCCGACATACCCTCTGCCAGTAAAACCAGAACCCTCGTCCCCTAACTCACCTTACCAGCTCAACCCTTATTACCTGTCAAACACCCAGGGTATTTACCCCCCTTCCTCCATGAACCTCAATCAGATCGACTACCAGGGATACAGGTACGAGAATTTGCCAATTAAATGATTAATTAATTAATTAAATTATGTTTTATTTTGGTGTTCATTGTTAAATGCGTACGATGTAATGAGTGAAGTTTTTCACATGTTAGGATATCTCATTTGACTATCACTCTTTTGAAACGCAAGGAAATATTTTATAACGTTAATATTTTCAGGTTATCAGACATGATGCTGCCCTCCTTCGGTAACCATGGTAACCACGACCAGTTAATAAAGCAGGAGAAATATCCCGCACTGTAAGTACAGTTGTTCGTTTTTTAATGTTTGTTGTAGGAATGTTGTAATAGTAATGTTGTGGTGTGATGTGTCATGTTGTTTTAAGCACCAGTGTGGTTTGCAGTGGTTTTGTAGTGGTTTGCCAATGATAATCCTGGTGATTTTTTGACTGCTGGCTTTCATTTTGTGAAATATTTTTGCTCAAAATAGCATAATATAAGATTTAAAACAGCTTTTTGGCCTCGGCTCCATCATTTGTTCATTTGCTATCGACCATGTTGATAATTTTTCAAAACGAATAAAAAAGGATGTTGAGTGAATTCACTCCTGAATAGGTCCTTTATGGCAATCTAATTCCGTGTTGATGATACATATATAGGTTTTGATCTTGCTAAGTTAGATTTCTGCCCAAATGCTCTCAGCGATCGCATAGTTTGTCCCTAGTTGTTGTCGTCTGTTTTATATTTCGATGTTTATTATTTATTGTATCATTACCGTTGACATAAACAAATACAATCTACACACCTGACAATACTCTGACAACTACGAAAACACGACAAAAATGTCCGTTGTCATGACAACACTCTGGATATCTTGTAACATTTTACATCGGCTGAACCAAAAATTTGGACAAATTTAGTGGAGGAATTTGAAGTGTGAACATGTGTGTGTGTGTGAAGCTGACCGGCGCGCGGCGCAGTGTATTGTCATGGCAACAAACATAATCACACCCTCTCATGTAATAGTACTGACACTACCTTGCGTTTCAGCACGCCGGAAAGTGACCCGGTGTTGACTCACCAGCTTCTCGGCCTCAATCCCGCTGTGGAGACCGACAAGATCGACTATCCTGCCCAGACCGATGTTACCGGGCCTATGAGGATCAGAAGGATAAAACGACCCATTCCTGCAGGTTCGTAACCAGTTTCACCCCTTCATTTCACCCTTCATTTTCATATACATTCGCGGGTGTGAACGACCGAAATTCTGGGAAATGCCAATTTTTTCTAAAGTTAAAAAAGACGGAGTCAGCCGATGTTTATGTTATGATTTATCCGCAGGTCCCACCTACCCCGTGCATTTGTGGCAGTTTATTTTGGAACTGTTGGGCGATCACGCGTGTAAGGACATCATCGCATGGACTGGCAATGATCTGGAGTTCAAGGTCCTGAACTCTCGGGAACTGGCTAGGAAGTGGGGAAAACGGAAAAACAAACCGCGAATGAACTTCGACAAGTTGTCACGTGCCATGCGGTATTACTACGAGAAAAACATTATCAAGCACATTCCCGGACAGAGACTGGTCTATCGGTTCTGTAGGAATCCTGATGATATCGTGTTTACTCAGTTGTTAAAAACTGCAATGGGAACTTTGCCTCCAGAGGCCAGATTAACGGCCCCTGTCACAACAAATCCTTGCTTTGCTTCACCTGTAGACCAAACTCCGACCATACCCGACGGGTACTTTAACCCACAAAACTCTCAGACAATGACCCACCCTTTTACTGTGAAGCAGATTGTGTACTGAGCGTGCGCGTGAGGAGTGTTGAAGTTGCGTGAGAAATTGCGTGAGAATTTGCGTGATATGGCGCGGGAAGGCGCGTGAGGGATCACGCAAATCTCCCAACAGAGTTATTTTATTGTGCAGTGTTTTGACAATTTCAACCAACTTTTAATTCTGAGCGGGAATGAGGAGGGGAAATAATTTATACTCGTGATATATCAGAGTTAATTTACACTAAAAGCCTTGTAAAATATGATAAGGTCATTTGGATAACAGTTTTAGTTTATTTATTGATTTGTAACATGGATTTACTTATTTATTCCATTTTCAGCCATAAAACAGATTAACAATAATGTCGCCTTGACACTAACTCATCTAAGGCTATGTCTAATATCCGACCGATGTTTTAAACTTTTTAACCTAAAAAAATGGGTAGGCATGTTTTAAGGAAATTGGGAGGGCAAATATATTTTACCAGATTTCTATGGTCGCCCCCTGAAACCCTTGTGGTGCTACTTTTTACCTGTTTAAGGGGCTGAGCCCCAGATTGAAATGTCAAAGTATTTTTACTAAATCGTTAATTATCACTCCACTTATTTACATATGATTTGTCAATATTATGTAAAAATTTATACAAAGTGCATATAATCTATTGAGAATGCAGAGAAATTGTTCGTTAGTTTTATGAGAATATCCCAGTTGTATGCATGCGCAGAGGCCAAAAGGACATAACTTTTAGAAAAGCTTGATGTAAAATAAGTAACATAGAAAATAGGGAAGCATATCTCGAGTTTCGTGTCCGTATAGGGCAATCTTTAAATGTGTCCCTTTCGGCCTCTGGTTTTTGGTTTAAGTTGTTGAAATATTAACTTTAATAGCTTCGCGATTGTATGGTTTAATTGATAATCAGGATAAAGATAAAAATTGAGGGATTTTCAATGTCCACATTATGTTATTTTCTTCTTCAAATCTTTCATTGATTTCTAGAAATCAAATGTATCATTTTGAAATATTACAAAACAGAAAATCCAACAAAATTTATTAAAAAATACGCGAACTCATTAATTTTGAACTTGCCATCACCCTCTCCACAATCATGAAGATACCACAATACAATTCTTAAATTCGTAAATATCTATTATAACTAACATTATCCTTACAAATTTTCGTAAATGTTTCTATAATCTATATGACTCCACCTCAATCTTACCAAAGTTTCCCCTTAGGTCCCTCCTACCCAGTTCACCTGTGGCAGTTCATCTTGGAACTACTTGGAGATCACAGCTGCAAGGACTTCATCGCCTGGACGGGAAATGACCTGGAGTTCAAAGTTATTAACAGCAGAGAGCTTGCACGAAGGTGGGGAAGGAGGAAAAACAACGCCAGAATGAACTTCGACAAGTTGTCACGTGCCATGCGGTATTACTACGAGAAAAACATTATCAAGCACATTCCCGGACAGAGACTGGTGTACAGGTATTGCAGGAATCCTGATGATATCGTGTTCACCCAGCTTCTGAAGACTGCCATGGGAACCCTGCCCCCAGAGACCAGACTAATAGCCCCCGTGACCACTAACCCCCACTTCAACAACACTCACTCTCTGGGAGGGGGGTTTAATCCCCTTTCTAACGGAGCCCCCCGCTCTCTCTCCTTCAGCTCAGCCAGCTCGTCCTGTTCCTCCCTCCTACAACAGTCCTCACCTCTCCAGACCCACAGTAGTCTTCAACACTCCTCTCTGGGTAACCTCTCCAATGGCAATATGTCCAATATATCTCTGGGTTCAGGATCTCTCGCCACAGGATCTCTCGGCTCAGGATCTTTAGGAACCAGCAATTTGGGGTCAGGAAGCCTGGGGTCAGGAAATGTGGGCTCCGGAACTAATGGACAGACTTCCGGCCTGGTATCCTCCACTGGGCTCCTGTCAGGACCCCGACCTTCAGACAACAACATGACTGAATATATGTTCAGTGCAAACTGTCTCACCCAGGTGCAGCAACATCTCCAGTCCAACGGAGAGGGTGTCAAACAACATCATATGATGGCTAGTTAGAAACATTTCCTTGTGTTTTATGAAACTATAATTTGTTCATAGTTCGGGGTTTATGAGATGTTCAAGGTCGAGCGAGAGGAAAGACTTGCAATTCTGTATTTAAAGAATAAGGATGACCATTTAAGTTTGCCAACATCAATTTGACGTTTTTGATGATTAAGATAGGCATCTTTTATTGATGACAGTCTTGATGACTGACTTACATTTGGAAGCGTTCTGTGTGAGTTACATTTTATTTGATTTTCTCTGCCGGGAAACTGAAAGCTTGAAGATACAACTTTTGCTCCAACATTATCATATTGGTGGTACTACTACAGTTTTATTTATATTTATATTTTTATGACAACGTTAATTTATAAGCATATTTAATATGGTTGTAATTTATATCTCATGTTTTTAATTTTTGCACGTTCAGTAGGGTGAAATTGTTACCCCCCTGCACGTTATTTTCTACTTGTATCTGGGTATGCATTGCGCGGTGGGCAGTTCTCATGTGCTGCCTACGGTAAGATTTCACGCTCTTATAAACTGGTTTTTGTCCATAAGTATCGAGGCAACTATAATAAGATTTATTAAAGTTTTGTGTATTAGAGTAATTCAAGTTGGTCACTGGGAATAAAACTAAAAGTCCCAGGTGTGCATCATGCTGGACATTCTGTTGATCTGACAATATAATTATTAGGATTTAAAGCTTTTAAAAAATCAAATCATTAATCTAAAGCATTGACCATGGGACCGATATTAATATTCCTAAACTTTTTGAATGTTTTATAAATTTTGAACGTTTTACGCTTTTAAAACTGAAATTTTATCTTCAAAGTTGGTAGCTATCTAGGTCAATACATAGTAGGACTTCAATTTGTTTTGGAGTCGAGTTGATGATTGTATGGTATTGATGTACTGTTGACGCTTGCTTCATGCAGCATATTTTAAGTCGAGTGTGTTGTATATGTTTTAAAGTTCATTATTTATATTCCGTGTTTACCTTGTTGTTTTACCAATACAAACCTCGGCTGCACGGGTATCTGGCTCAGTCACTCGCCACTAGTGTTAGTAATACTACGTATGTTGTATAATTATATACTTTTAGTATTACTATTACTAAATAGTCACACAGTAAACTTGATACTAAAAGTAAAACAGCCGATTTAGTCAACGTTCGAACGTACATCTATTATTTTGTAATTTGTTGAAGAACATGGATAGCTTTCAGGAAATTTATATTCACCAGATGCAGCACACGTTATAAAACACAAAAACAATTAAAATTTATCAGTAAACTCATGTGAGTAAGAAAAGGAGGAATAGTTGTGGACACAACAAGAAAATTGAGAATAATCTTGTGCGAGGGTAGGGACCCAGATGTCGTTTCTAACCCAAATAAACTTTAAGGAGGTTTCTCATCAGTAGCCGCACCTCCTTACTCGGTTTCTGAACTGGAATTCTATGGGCTTCCAGACGGCCAGACCGAGTATTACCATCCCATCCTTCTAGAGTTCATCACAAGTAGCACCCACCTTGAAGATCTTTGACACCCAGACACACCCCATTGGCGAACAAACTTTGGATATAATCTTACATGCTCCCGAAGGAATCCCTGGTTTATGGTCTTTCTCATCGTCACCAGCACTTTCACTAGGTCACCAGCTCTTTCACTGAAGTCATCAGCCCTTTCACTGAAGTCATCAGATGTGACTCTGATCAACGGTATAGTTGTGGACACAACAAGAAAATTGAGAATAATCTTGTGCGAGGGTAGGGACCCAGATGTCGTTTCTAACCCAAATAAACTTTAAGGAGGTTTCTCATCAGTAGCCGCACCTCCTTACTCGGTTTCTGAACTGGAATTCTATGGGCTTCCAGACGGCCAGACCGAGTATTACCATCCCATCCTTCTAGAGTTCATCACAAGTAGCACCCACCTTGAAGATCTTTGACACCCAGACACACCCCATTGGCGAACAAACTTTGGATATAATCTTACATGCTCCCGAAGGAATCCCTGGTTTATGGTCTTTCTCATCGTCACCAGCACTTTCACTAGGTCACCAGCTCTTTCACTGAAGTCATCAGCCCTTTCACTGAAGTCATCAGATGTGACTCTGATCAACGGTATAGTTGTGGACACAACAAGAAAATTGAGAATAATCTTGTGCGAGGGTAGGGACCCAGATGTCGTTTCTAACCCAAATAAACTTTAAGGAGGTTAAGAAGGATTTCTACCAGTCTTGAATCACCAGATATCCAAGATGCTCCTAAATCTTTTAAATGGAACAGATCAGAGAACCTCTCTGCCGATACAGCGACTAAGTTCCGGCTAGCACAGAGTGATCAGTCATTCAAAGACAAAATGGACTGCCTCCTTAATCAACCTGTGGATACGGCAAACGAAGCTGCACAGCTTAATGAAGACTTAGTCGCAACATACCACAATCTTGCGAATTCTGTTACTACGACCAAAAGCGGCAAACGCACCAGCAAGAAAAAATGGTTTGACCGAAGCTGCAAACAGGCTAAAAGGGAAGCCAACAGAGCTGACAGAAATGCTAACAGTAACCCACACAGCAACTTCCTACGTGACCAGCACTTTCTCAGAAAAAAGGAGTACCGAAAAATCAAGAGGATGAAAAAGGGGAAATTTCTGTACGAGATGAACCAGAAGATAAACGAATGTGGTGAGGTTAACTGGGCAGCGCTCAAACGGCTATCTGACCAGCACAAAGATGAGGAACCCTTCGACATTTACGATCTTCTCCTTTTTCACAAATTCTTCAATGATCTCTACAATCGAAAGTGTGGCGTGAACAATCACTCCAAGGATGATGGCACTCCTACTCCTACGTCCAATGATTCGCAGCCTATCAAGGAACTGGTCGATGAACTGAATCGCGACTTTACCTTACAGGAGATCAAAGATGCGACCAAAAAACTCCAAAACAATAAGAGTGTGTCCGATGACCTGATATCCAACGAGATGTTGAAAAACTCCAATGAGACACTTCAACTCGTCGTGGTAAAACTCTTTAATGCCTGCCTCCAGCATGGGACTTACCCCTGGAACAACTCGATCACAACTCCCCTCCATAAAAAGGGTGACCGGCAAAACCCTGATAACTATCGTGCTATTACTATTGGGAGCTGTCTCGGCAAACTCTTCTCGAACCTTCTCCTTAAACGGCTAATCGAATTTAGAGAAATAGCCTGTCCGGACCGACCGTATCAACTTGGATTCAGGAGGGGAGCCCAATGTAACGACCACTTACTCACCTTGAATACCATTATTGAGAAATACACCAAGAAAGAGAAGAAGCGACTTTTCGCCTGCTTTGTCGACTACCGCAAGGCTTTCGATAGCGTATGCAGGGAAGCACTCCTGTTCAAGCTGGGCAACATGGGCATAACAGGCAAATTCTTCGATTGCATCAGCCACATGTACAATAACTCTTCAACCCGAGTCAAGCTGATTCAAAAGCTATCCGCAGCCATCGACGTCACCATCGGCACAGAACAAGGACATCCAATGTCCCCCGAGCTCTTCAAACTCTATATCCACGAGCTCTCTATCAGACTTGAACAAATCGAGGAATTGGATGTACCTTTATTAAACGGTGTAAAAGTAAGTCACCTCCTATGGGCAGATGACCTGGTACTCTTAGCGCTGGATGCGGGCAGCTTACAGAAACTGCTCAATTGCTTGCATGACTATGCTGAAAAGTGGGAGCTGTCTGTGAATATCAACAAAACCAGCGTGATGGTCTTTAACACAAGCTCACGAATACTGAAATGTGCTTACGGCTTCAAACTAGGCAACTTGGACATCGCACCTGTCAGAAAATACTGCTATCTAGGAATCCAATTCTCCCTGAACGGTTCCTTCAAGCAAGCAATCGATGAACTTAGGAAGAAAGCTCTTCGCTCATTCTTCTCTCTGAGACGAACTATTGACACGAGAGCCCTTACCACTAGCACGATGCTAAAACTCATTGATAGCCTAGTCAAGCCAGTGGCCACATATGGATGCCCTATTTGGCTGCCATCAACCAACATCGTGAAAGCCATCCTCTCGAAAAATCAAGAAGCGAGTCTTCCCAAAGCAGCAGCAAAAGATGCTCTTGAAACTACTCACTTGAAAATTCTTAAATGGATATTGGGTGTCCACAAAAAGGCAAATAACAACTTCTGCTACGGAGATACAGGTAGAACCCCCTGGACAGTAACCGTCCTCCCTCAATGTATTGCCTACTTCTGTAGAACATCACAAGCGGTAGTAGGTAACGTGAATACCCTCTTGCACCATACATTTCAGGAACAGAAACAGCTGAACCTTACCTGGTATGATGCATGGTCTACTATCATCAAGACGAGCACTGTCGCTAAGCCACACCTACCCCACACCCTTGCGGCTCGTGAACACATACACGAAACATTTGTTAACCACTGGAAGAAGGATCTTCACAACCAGCCTAAAATGTCATTCTACACTGCGGTCAAAGCTGAGTTTGGTGAAGAACTGTACTTACAGCTCCCATGCAGGGTCAAAAGAGCTAACATTGCGAAACTTCGATCTAGCAGTCACGATCTGAGAATTGAGAAAGGTCGCTACACTGGAGATCGCTACAACACAGCACTGAAAACATGTCGCTTTTGCTGCTCGTCAGACACCGACGTCATGCGGTTCTTCGAAGAACTACCATTCTTTGAAACACCTATCCTTGAAACCGAGGACCACGTCATAAATGAATGCCCCAGCTACAACTCCCTCCGGTCCAACCTCTCAGACAACCTTAAAAGCCTCATAATGCTCAAAGAATATGGGGCCATCATGAACTCATTCCATGTAACTGAATTTGGAAAGTACCTCACAGAATCCTTTCACCTTCGACATCCTCCTGAAAAGAAGTCCTAGTAATCACCTCCTAAGAAGTCCTAGTAATCACCACCTAACAGACTCTTCAAACCTTCGAAATCCTAAGTTTAAGTCCTAATACTCGCTTCACGTCCCGACTCCCCTACTATACTCATCTCCTTCATCGTCCTATCAAGTAGTATTTGAGTTTAACCTATCTCCTTGGACTTGCTTTTATGCACACATTCAGTATTTTTACTAGCATTTAAATTATTATATTTGATTTTATTTCCACTTCGTGATATTGTAACGCGGTTAAATTTTAGGATTTTATTTTCATACTTTTATTCGGCTTTTATTTTATATCTGAACTTATTTATTTATTTATGATTGATGTATAGCCAAAACGAGTTCGTTAGTGTTCTCCTTGGTAATTTCAAGTGTTCTCCTTGGTAATTTCAAGTTTAATTCCAGTTTAATTCCTGGCCTGCTATCACCTAGGTGTGAACCCCACTTGACCTGCCCCGTAAGGTGTGAACCCTCCTCGGTGTCCCTCTGTTTCCCCATGGTGTGAACCCCACTTGACCCATGCCCCGCAAGATGTGAACCCTCCTCGGTGTCCTTCTGTTTCCCCATGGTGTCCAACATGGAACTGAGTTGCGTGACGTGAACAGGTCGAGTATTCATTACGTTATATTTTACGTTTTTTATAACCTTACTGGGCCGCGCTCAGTTTGTCATTCCGCCGAATCTCTATTCAGTATGTTTATGAACATGATAGCCTGACGTCCCCAGGTAAGTTTAACGTCGACATCCATTCTCGACAGTACTTCATAATTATATTATCAAAAATTCAGAACAGTGAGTAACCGCTCTTAGTCCTACTAAATCGCTCGCCCAAATTTTAAGAAAATTCTTGTGAAAAGGCCCCATGGCCATGGGTATGAAATTGATCTGAATCGGTGTATTTTTGGACGTTGATTCCGAATCACCCCCCATGACGTAGGGTGAAAATGCTTCCCTGGACAGTTATGGGCAAAAAACCCTTTTGGTCACGTGACATGACAGGCTAGTTATAAAACATGAATTCGATTGTTTAGGGCTCGGGTTAGGGTTAGGGTTGTGGTTGTCATACGTTGTATGAGGCCCGCCGGCTCCCCTTGTATCGTAGAAACTCCACTATAGTGAAACGACGATGGGAGTCACGACGTGATACAAGGTTGTGGTAAGGGTTATGGGTAGCTTCGGGGTTATGGTTAGGGTTTGACCATTGTTAATGATCTGGCCCGGCGCGCGCTACTTCGTACCACTTGCCATCCCGCTACTTCGAAGAAATTTAGACGAGTAACATCGCATCCGTCAAGGTTAGGGTTAGGGTTGGGTCGTTGGGATTAGGGTTTAATGTATAGTATTGACGGATGTTACTCGTCTAAATTTCTTCGAAGTAGCGCGCCGCTTTCTTCTCGCCGGGTCAGATCATTAACAATGGTCAATGTATAGTAGCTTGTTTATGTTAAACCGTTTTGTACGGCTGCAAAACCATAAAAACCAAAGTCACGTGAAATTTTTGGGCGAGCGAATTAGTAAAACTAAGAGCCGTGAGTGACCGTATAATTATATAATTGATAATTATATAAGTGAAAAATACATGCTGTATGTAAGATCATTGTAGCGCGATGCACTACTGGGTCGCGCGCGCATCCAATAATGCTTCTCGCAACCACAGATCGGCGAGATGCGAAGGCAGAAGGATTGACATCGTGAATCAAGTAAGATCATGGCCTGACCCCCCCCACAGGGGTGCCATAGTGCAGAGAAACTGCACTGCTAACTGCTGCTGCTAACTCCTGCTATAAACTGCTGCTAACTGCTGCTGTCGCGCGCGCGCGCCGCTAGCAGCAGTTACTGTTAGCAGCAGTGACAAGTGACTTTTTCCTAAAAAACATTTTTCTCTACGTTTCATGCTACCCTGATTATGCTATCATGATGAGCCGAAATCATTGTTATGAAATCTAATCAGGCCAAGCACTTTCTAAACTACTTACTATTATGTATTATAGCCGGATATTCGATCAATGTCTAAATTTTATTACTATCAGAGTGAAATTTGAATTAAAATATTGTCAAATTGTTATTATTCTAGAGGGTAAAAAAGAAAATTCTGATTACGCAATCAACGACCAACCCACCCTTGTAGGTTTACAACCTACTAGGACGCGCGCCGAGTTGGACTCGTCGACGGTCCAATATATGGAACAAATATTTTACGAGTATCGCCCGTTAAACCCACCCCCCCCCCCCCCCCCCCCCCCTTCTCCCCTGTAATCGACCGTAAGCATTTGGAAGTCCCTTAATCAATGGGTGATACTCTTAAATTATTTGGGTGATACTCGTAAAATATTTGTTTCAAATATACCGTCGACAAGTCCAACTCGGCGCGCGTCCTGATAGGTTATAAACTTACATTTACAAGAAATCCCCCCCTCGGCTGATTACGTAGTATGTGAACGACCCCTAATTGTAAATTTTTACAAGATGTGTAGGTAGATTAAGATAGTAACTCCGAAGAAGTGAACAAGGAAGCCGAAGATCAAGAAAAAATATTACTAGGCCGCGCTCAGCCTGTCATTCCGCCTAATCTCTATATGTTTATGAACATAATAGCCTGAGGTCCCCAGGTAAGTCATAATATAAATATAATTATAATGTGATACTTAGAATATTTAAATTTTATAATAACCTGTTTTCCCAAGGATGTCAAATACGTATCGGTATAGCGTATCGTATAAACGTATGGCATACGAATACGTATTTCTCAAACGTGTTTTTTACGTACTTCGTTCAAATCTGTCATTTGTCATTTCGTCCATCGATTCTTTAAATTGAGCATTTATGATTTAGCAGGAACGCGCTAAAAACGCGCGTTTACAAATATAAATATTACATTTCTTCCTGAAGCATTCGGGTTCTGGACCCGCCGACGATAGTTTTATTTTCACTTTTTGGCAAATTTGAATAGCTAACAATACCTCGGTAATATAATCAGCAAAGCTCACGATACAGTATATTATGGAATTGAACTTGAAGGTGAACATAGTCATAATGAAATAGTCACCCGACCAAAAAATGTGCGGCCACTTTTTCCGCCTTAATCAGATTCTTAGTCACTTTTTATATTTATAAGCCATCGGGCCATTTTGGTAGCAATTTGTATTCGAGCAGATTATGATGCCGATTATGCTGGTTAGGCAGATTATGATGAAAGATGTGTGGCACATGGCAGCTGATCTTTTAACTTTAACTACTTGCGTACTTTGCGGAAACGTTTATTGCAAGAAATACGTGCGTATTCGGACAAAATTTAACATAAAAAACATTTTTTCTGAAACTGCAAAATGGGCCGTATATCACGTTGACGTACTTCTTAGAATTTTGAAAAACGGCGTATTTTCGACCGGTTTTTCGGCGTATGCAACATCGATGTGTTTTCCATTGATCCAATATGATATAGTTTACTATTTAAGTCCGAATCCGATGATAGAAATTACAATTGACTGAAATTAAAAAGTTGCCATATCCTAAACATGAGTTCGCGCAACCGCAGTGGAATAATTTTGTAAAAAATGTCAACGGACTTTAACTTTATAATTTGAACGGACATTAAGATTAACGCTATACTAGGAGTAGGACCTCCAGCGTTCAATTAAGGTCCGATTATAAGGTATACAGTATACACCGGGGTTCAGTTTCACACTTAGTTGTAGTGAACGGTGGATTTTGACGTATTGAACGCGTAACACGTTCCAGTCATTTTGTAGTGAACGTTATTAAACAACTGATAATTATTAATGGACATCTATGAACGTTTGATTGTCCTCATACTCATAAGTCAATTGTTACTGTTAGTTAGCAGAATTGTAGACTTAGCGGAGAGATAAAAGACTAACGTAGTAACTCGTACTCCGTTTTATAGATCTAGATTGTAGAGTACGCTATATAAATATCTACCACATACTGCACACTTTATATTATCACAAACGACTAGTAACAGAGTACCGGTCTAGATGCTAGAGATTTGGCTGCTAAATCGAAAACAGTCGGATATCAATCTATTTTCCTGTTAGCTAGACCAGAACTGAGTGGCAAACAGGAGAATTAAAACTATATTGAAAGGTTCTGGAATTTCTAACGGCTCATGGTTGCTAGATGTCAGAAAATTGTTTTATCATTTATCTGCCATTGAACCCTGTGATCCTATGATAAGGACCCGGCAATAGCCATTGGATCACAAGCAGAAACTATTTGTCGAACTAGATAACACTACCTGGACTCTAGTTCGTCTGCTTCGAGTTCGACACGTACCGAAGTACGACAGGGGTGATATCTGGCGACTTTAATTTGTCGAACTATAGTACGTGTCGAATTAGATTACGTGAATCCTACTGAACACTACAAGTAATTTATCCATAACGTTCAGAACGTGAGATGAGTTTTAGTGAACGTTCCGTACGTGAACTACAACTAAGGTTTCACACCTCGAGGCAGTGGTGTCGAAATGAAAATGGGAGTTGCAACTAGACGTCAATTTCACAGGCTAGTTCGTTATTATTTTAAACTTGAACAGTAGCTTTATATTAAAGAAAAAACTCCAGCAACAGTTTTCAGTTTATTTAGGTGAATCCGTTTTCTTAACTTTTTAGAATATGATGCACATTCTGTGACTTTAGTGTGAAGTTTAAAGAACACATTGACACACGCTGTATAGTGTATACCTCTTATAATATAAGATAAGAGGTATACAACGTGTAGCAATGTTTACAGCACCCAATGTCTATGGCAATTCATATCCATCACATTATTTTTAATTTAAAATTATGTTTTTATTTTCAATCTTTTATTCATAACTGTTAATTTATAATTATTTATGTTTGATCATTTTTCCTCTGACTAAAGTTGAAAGTACAACTACAAGGTTGAAGTCTCAACTCTCAAACAATCATTTGTTTCTGAAAACAATAAATCGTTTATCAATATTTTTGCCAATATTCCTAAATGCTTTAACAGTTAATTTTAACAAAATCCCCCACGGCACACGAGATGACAATAAAATTAAAACTCATTTATTTATCCAATAAGTAGATCAAACGGAATTAAAACAAATAACATATAAAATGGTGCTAAGATCGAGTTTGTGTCGGAACCTGCAGACTAAGCCATTAATTATTTATACGTCAAAAACTGCAGTAAAATAAGGTTAAAACTGTTGAAAATTAAAATTAAAAATTAAAACTATCTGCCAGTCTATAATAAACATGATGCTATCAAATTATGGCTACTTAAAAGTGGTCGTTATAGCCGGCTCATTGAGTAACAATCGTGAAATTTTTTACAGTAGCTTTATTAATTGAAGCGAAAGCAACAATACTGTCACAGATACATTCGAACATGAAAAGCGTACAAATCACTGCTAGTACTGGGGTTCAAGTCGGTGTATTTGCCCAATAACTCAACAATTGTATAACTATACCTCAAATCACTGCTGGGTTTCAATTTTCAATGTGGACACAATTGCTTGTAATCTTCTACGTTACACACCGTATGCTATTATTGGGTTTCATAACCTAAACCATATTGGACTCGGAGATTTATCGTCGCTTCAGTAGTTTGTCCTTTTTTGATCTACTTAACTTTTTAGTTTTCTTGCTAATTTTACCGATCAAACATTGCTCTCATACAGTTTATTTTAGCGGACTTTATTTGAACGGACAATAGTTGGACTTGGACGCTGGAGGTCCTAGCGTTCATTTTAATGTCCGTTCTAATTAAGTCCGATAAAGTAGTTAAATTAAATACTGATCATGAATGCCTTCGAGCGTTCATTTTTATGTCCGTTCAAAATTATGACCGTTGATCACGCTATGTTCGGTCAAATAACGTCCTATAACTTTTAAATGTCATTTCCGTCTTTAGATAATCGTTGATAGATTGTCATCCCAGTCCACACCAATCATGTAAAAAATCCGGAAAATCGTGAAAATGTTGAAAAGTTGAAAATCTGCTGAATTTGGTGTATGGAATTGGAATTAAGCACTTTTTCGGAGCCATGCAATAAAAAATATACAAAAAGTAAATTTCGATGGAAATTTACTTTTATACGTCAATAAATGAGTTCCGTCAACTCCATCCAAAATGAAAGAATTGACTCGATCCTCTTTTTGTACAACTGTCAGGATACCAAGACATAGTTCACAAATAAATAGTAGTTCGTAACAACTGAGACCACCAGGACCAGGATTATTGGTTTTAGTGGGAGGGCATCTGAAAAAATGGAAATAAATATATGGTAATTTTCTGAAATGAAATGTTCAAATTGAGGACGATGAATCAATCTTTCCTACTGAATACTGATACAATATTGAAAATTTGCGATAGGAACTCCGAAGTGAAGGCAGGCCAAGTTTTTGACGGTGGTTATACCAATGCCACCGGTTATACCGGTTGTACCGGTTATACCGGTTGTACCGACTACCGGACACCGTTATTGTGCTCTAGAGCACAGAATCTAGTCAGTTCTTGTTATGATCAATTTCATTAGAGAATGCAGCTCCTCCCTTTGGCCTGCCAGCCATGTCCACCTTTTTGCCTAATACTGATTTATTGTATGACTGTTTTGTAGCTTTGTAGAATCAGTAGTATCAGTAGATTTACCCTGATATCCGTAAAGTACCGCCTCTCACTAGTCCAACTGGCTGTAACTGTAATACCAGAACTTACCGTTAACAATAACCCCTTCCTCCTCCGTTTTCTCTTCTTCCTCTGAGCAGGTGGAGTCAAACCGTGGCCTGACATCTTCTAAGGGATCTGAAGTGGTGAACACTCTTTAAAACATACTGGAAAGTATTTACATTGAAGTCTTTGGGCTTTCAATACTTAAATTAGGGCACATCTAATCTAACAATTTTCGCAAACTAGAAATTCATGAATTGCTGATCAACATTTAGTAAAATTAAATGGATGTAAGGAAAATATCCGTAAATGGAAATAAAGCCCCCCCCCGGCCCCCGTCGAGCAGTTACCTGGTTGCTCCTGAGGTGGTAAGTCGGCTGGTCTATCCAAAGAAAATCTAGCAGGCTTAAGACACGCCACATGTCGTCTTGTAGTATTTGGTGTCCTTTCTGAAGAAAGTAAATTGAATTAACGGGTAAATATGTTTTTAAAGATGCAGAACAGGGTATTTGTAATATTCATCTCTCTGCTCCTAAGATTACCTTATAAAAGTAGATAGCTTTTTAAATAAAAGTATAATAAGTAATAGCAGGATGGCAAAGCTGGGGTTGGAGGTTATTGGGGAAGACGACCTGCCCGTTCCAATGCGTAAGTTCTTTGTTTACTTAAAAAGAAGTTATAAAATCCTCGATAAGGGCCTTAACGGCTCCGACCAAGACCTTACCCTCGGTCCAACAGTGCTGCAGCACCAATCTGTATCACCAAACCAGTTGGCATGGAGATTGGAGCTGTCACGTGCTTTGAAGTTATCAAGTGACAAAGAAAACACGCTTTGGTTAACCATTAGTTTGCTGGCTACGTGAAATACAGACCGATAGAAACTCCAAACAAAAAACTTTTATGTTGCATTTGGGGGCAATTCCTCGAATTTATTGTTTCGTACCTCTATGCTGTATTGAGTAATATTTGAAAAATGAATGAGAAAATTTCAATTTTAGATACTGGGAGCGATCCAGAAAACTCTAAAAAAGAAATGGGAACAACAAGAAAAGTAGTGGTGCTTGGTCTTCTTATGCTCTGCTGTATGTCATTCAGTATTTGTTCCTCTATAAGGTACGCATTCCTGACCGATGCCTTCAAAAGAAGAGGGGTCCCCGGGTCAGTATACGGGCCCATGGAGACCAGCTGCTTCTTAGGTTTCATTATCATGTACTTTTCAGGAGTTACGGAGGCCATTATGAGGAGGACCAACAACAGGAACATCTTCGTGATATTCTTGGTGCCCTTGGCCCTGAGCTCGCTGGCGACCGGATTCGTTTACTACATTCCTAACACATATGTAATGGTCTCAGTTTCCTTTTGCTTGAGGATCTGCCAAGGTGCTCTTTTCTATTCCAACTCGATATATCCCGTAGATTTCGCTCATGCTCATTTTGAGGATATGTTCGATTTTGTGAATGGTCTGACAATGATTGGCAACTTCGGAGGTCATGGAATTGCGGAGTGCCTTGGATGTTTTATGTATGAACACTTTGGCTACATAACTCCATTTATCTTTTCATCCAGCTTAACTCTTGTAGTTTGTTCAGTTGCTTTCTTTGTCATCCCTAAGTCAAAGGCTTATCTGGCAACTCAAGACGAGGCATCAGACCAAAATACCGGATCAATCTATCCTTCTGAATCTAAGTCTAACCGCTCACGACTATCCAAACTGCTAGCTATCCCGATGATAGCGACTATGCTTATCAATGTCAACTACGGAGTTTTTCAGGTGAAAACCAAATTTTGTTGCATTAACTACGTCCTACACCTTCGATTCTAAATTAAATATGTGATAGTGGTCTTATATAAACATGTTTTACAAGTTCACCCCTCACACTCCACATAGAATAACTCCCACCCTTATATTGCAGGTAGCTGTGGCTCCATTCCTTCATGAGACCTTCAACAAGTCCTTATCATACGGAGGCACAGTACTAATAATGTTATGTGTTGGAATGGTTATCGGGAGTCTCGCAGCTGGGGTGCTACTCCAGAGGAAGATCCTCAACCACTACACTATTATGTTGTGTGGAGCCCTCTTGATTGGTGTTGGACTTATGCTGGCGTTCCCTCCTCAGTTTTTAACCTCGGTTTATAGCTTAGCCCCGATCTTAGCGTTTCCTGGAGTTCTTTTGGCGGGAATTGGGGATCCGCTTATGACAATCGCTACCCTTCGAGCGCTCTATAATCTTCAGGTTTACAGATTTAGAAACATATTTTTGTATCCTTGCAGCAGTTTTATTTTGCGGTTTTTTAAAGTCAGTCAACCATTGATGAAGCCTATAGTATAGCGGTCAGCTAATTTAAACCAGACAATATAACTTAATTCACATCAGTGCACGACTTTCGTTCGTTTTTCCTTGGCCAAAAGATGAATGTAATGGTCAATAAAGTTTTCCTAAAGTAACATCACAATCAGCGTTGTATCTAAAGAACTGGAAGTGTAATACATTATTCAAATTGATTCTACAACTAATTTACTTAACAATTATAAAAGTTTCAGGATAGACCGCAACCCTTACTGAAACCCTTACCCCCAATTTGAGGAGAAAACAATATGAAGCTATTTACACAGGCTAGGAGTAACAATAATTATCATACACAAAATAAATATTTCAGATTTCGACCCAATTAGTTAAAATTAATATCAAAGCTTTCAGGTGGAAAACTCTTCACACATTTAAAATTTAAATTAAAAACTCTCATAGGAAGAGAGAATCGGCAAGGCGTCCCCAGAAGTAGTGACGAGAATAACGGCAATGTGGCTGGTAGGGTACGAGACTAGTTACTATAATGGACCTTTCCTTGCAGGAGTGCTCAATGACATTTTCACATATCCAGGTAATTCACGATGACCATTTTGCATATCCAGGTAAGACTGACAGTGACTGTTCTGTGTAAAAATAATCTTATTGACAATTTTAGAAAAATTTATTTTTAATAGTATACTTTGAGGATCAAGGAATGTAAATATCTTATTTTCCATATTTTCAGATTCAGCTCTAATTCTGGCGGGACTATCTGTTCTGTCAGCTCTAATAGCTATTGGGATGCGGCTAATCACCTTTGACAAAAAATCTGATGACCCTGATAAGACACCTTTGAAATCAGTGGAGTACTAGGAGAAGTCTTTAAATGTCATGTGTTGGTCGAATAACTTTGCCAACTTAAGAGCAAATAGGACTGGTGTAGGTGTAGACTTTGGTAGTCTGGTGGGAGGTGAGACATATTATTGACATGTGATAGTGATTCTGGGGTTTGATTGGTTCATAGTCTAAGCTGATTGGCTTCGTTATAACCATTAATGCACTATAACCATTAATGCAAAGCCCATAATTTTTCGCCATCCCACTAATAGATAATATTCACCTTCAAGAGGAATTTTATTTTCTTGATTTACATTTTACACACCATAAATTTAAGAATAATATAGTGTAGAGTTTCTGTCACAACAAGACTGCAATCCTTAGTAACAACAATTTATTTCTCCCAACAATTTGTATCTGGTCCAAGTAAGAGCCTTGTCTCCAAGTAAGAGCCTTGTGTCCAAAAACTCATCTTTACAAACGTTTCAGTGTGTGCAAAAGCTTTCAGGCCCGCACATTCCTTGCCCCCGTTAGTTGCCTGTCCGTTTACAACCCAATTAGTTGCCAAAGACAGAAAGTCATATGCCAAATGAGCATTATATTTTCATTTTTATAAATTTGTTGATTCTGTAAAATGTGCTAAAATTAAATTTCTTGTTTCATTGAATTTCTGTCACGTGTCAACAAATTATGATCCACTTTATTTTTTATTGGAAAGTTAAATCAACTGTGCTGTGTTTATTATGGTAGGGTTAATCTGTAACTCTTAGAAACTGACCCTTGCTTTAAGAAAATACAATTTTGTATTATTTTGTATCTATAATTATATATTCAGTATAACCCCGATCTACTGCAGCTCAGAGTTTGGGGGAAAGGAAACATTCAGGGTTAATCGGGGTTTGCGGTAAATCGGGGTTTTGTTTGTTAACATTATGCATGTTAAGCCCTATTAAATAAATAAAAGGAGATGGCCGCGGTAAATCGGAGTTTGCGGTAAATCTGGGCACGGTAAATCGGGGATTTACTGTACTTGAACATTGGCCAGTAAGAAGTACATTTGTTCGATTTAATAAAAACGACCTTAATAAGCTTCTTAACGTGTCATTTAATACTTTATAAATATCTCCGGGATTTCGACGCGGGATCATATTATCACTCAGCCCGGCCCGCTGTTAGATAAACATCTCAAGGTGATATCATCCCGCCCCGGAAATTTGTATAAACCCGGCCCGCTTTTTAGTCGTAACTGATGTTTATCATTCAATTCTCCGACTTACAATAATCAATGATACTGCTGATTAGAACTCGATAATAGTAGAACAGTTAGACGCGCGATCACGTGGGCGCGTCACGTGCGTACCACGTGCCACCAATAGCATACGCCGAGTCTATACCACGTGACACGAAAGCGCACCACGTGATATGAAACATCGTAACCGTCCACTTCTTTTACACGCAAATTCCTGGGAAAGTTGCCAAAGCAGCTAATTCTTGGAATTTCTCCAACGCGTGGCGTGAGAAGTTGGCGACTAGCCAGCTACCCTTGTCCGTGCCCTAAAAATAGTATTGTTTTGCTTGCTCTCCTTCCAGCTCTTGTTCCTGCTAACGTTCAAGCTATTGCTCCACTATGACAGATCGGTTTGACATTCAGATTGATGAACTGAATATACTCTAAAGTATAAATCCCTTGTCGAAATCGCCGGAGATAATTATAATCCATAAACACTTCACGCTCAGGGCTAAATAAATGTAATCCCTCAGCTGGCGCTTCGGGATTACATATTAACACAAAACTCGTGCGCTGCGCGCACTCGTATGTGTTTATCAGATCATCCCGCTAGCGCGGGATGATCTGTTATATAAACCCTTTGCGTGGCGGGTTTATGTTATTATAACATTATATTTAGTAAGTGGACACTGGACAATAAATTAATTTTGAGAATACCCGATTGCAACTGTATGGCCGATCAATATGTGGAATTTTAAAAGTGCGTAAAGTACGCACAAACCAACTATGATTATTTTAGGTCAAAAATCCAAAATAGCGGTCAAAATTTGCCAGGCATAACATTTAAGTGCAAAAAAAATGTCGTGAAAAGTACGACTAATTGCTTAGTGTGTGTGGCAAGTTTGCCAAAGTTTGCTCGAGTGCAGTGAATATTTGGGAAATGTGTGGCAACTGTGCGGCTAATTTTCTTAAGTACGATTTTGTGTTGGAAAACTGCTCAAACTATTCTAAAATGATGACGGTTGATTATAGACTAAGAGTGTAATCGTTGTGTTCATTGGAATCTTTCACCATAGAAGTTTGGTGTCCTATT